GATATGATGATGATAACCTATGATTAACTATGATTATATAAAAGGCTTGATGTTGATCATGATGTTGATGGTGACTGCGATCATGATTCTGATGATTGTGTGATGGTGACACGATGATTCAAGTACTTCAGGCAATTACGATCAACTAATTATATGTTAGCTGGTCGTCAGAAGGATAAGTATGAATCATATCTTATTATACGATCAATCAATGTAATTATATGTAATTAATGTATGAACCTTGATTGGACCTTGATATAATGGATGAGCCCGTTCTGATTCTTCAATCGCCATGGGATCGTCATCTTTGTGGATCGAAAATAGGCCCCCCAGGTCGTTGGGAGGCAGCTCTAAAACCAGTGGATGGAATGGGGTAGCCTGGGTAGCCTACGACAAAGCCATGAACGCGGCGTCATGCCCTGTCAGTTGGATGTGGGGGACAGGGGCTGGCTTCCCCCCAGCCCTCCCGACATCTCCCCACCTCACCCAACAATAATCGTAGGTCATTCGATGCTAGCTTCTATGAGACGATGACAATTTCTCGGAGATGACAACTTCGCAACGATGACAACTTTTATGAAACGAACATTGTGTACGGTACAGTCCCCTGGCAGGGGCCGGCAGCCCTTTAATTAATGAAGCTGACAATGTTACTGTCCCCTCCCCACCCCACCCTCCCCCACCCCATGAATAATCATACGGTCATCCGCCCCTGCGTGCGTCGAATCTACTGATGGAGCTTTTCATGGCACAATGGCACGTTGCGTATCAAATGGTGAAACTATGAAGGCCCAAAGCTCAATTCTAGGTGACGACTGCCCAATAGGACTTTGGACACTTGGTGATACCATGTGATACCCCAGAATTGTGTCCCCTTGATGTGTGTTAGCTATTCCAGAATGATGAACCATCAAATGGAACAAGTCTTTCCCTACCATCTGGTTATGACTAACATAGCCATGGAAAAAATCACCATTCAAAAAAAAGGTAAACCATCTATTTCTATGGGCCATCTATACCATGGCTATGTTAGTCATAACCAGATGGCAATGATGGTTAATGATGGTTAATGGTTAATGATGGTTAATCATGGTTAATGATGGTTATATATTATTATAATGATGGTTATATAATGATGTTGATTAATAGTGATTAATGGTGATCTATGGTGATTAATGGTGATTAATGGTTAAATAACCAGAGGCTTCAGTCCATCAGTCCAGTCCTGGTAAGATCTGGCTTCCTTCTGAGGGCACTCGCCCCGTGTGCGAAGGAGCACTCGCGCCCTGAACGCGTCAGATGGGAAGCCATTGCTACAGCTGGGAATGCACCATTCTCGTGCAAAATCATTGATTGGTAGTGTCAGTAGTGTCAACAAACATCTACATATATTGAAGACAGTTCAGGATCATTTCCACAATTGCGGATGAAAATTCAGAGAACAATCGGTGCTGAACATCCCAAAACAACTGGTCAGACTCATCATCGCCAAGTAGCATCCAGCAAAACTTACTCAGTAAACTCACAGTTTACTATAAAAAATCACCATTGACTGAGCCAGATATGGGCTCTTTTCCTTTTCGCAATTGTCAGCCATTGCCACGCCCATCCATAAGTGGCCTCGAGCACACTTCCCCCTTTCCTGGGGAAAGGTCAAGTCGGTTGGTCCGAGAATTGGGCCATTTAAGGAAGGCACCCAGATATGTTTGAGAACCATCATGGTTAATTATATAATGATTATGATATCATAATATATCATAATAGTAATGTATAATATACGTATAATAACTACTATAATAATAATGATCTCATTGTTTTATGGACTGAACCAACAACTTCGAAACCATTCACCAGATTGGGTCCAGATCCCAAGCACTGTCCATTGTGCAGGGACTCCCGAATTTCCGAACCCCACACCTTTCCTTTGCACGACATACATGACATTGCATTGCACATTACATTGCATGACATTTCATTCCCTTCCATTGGATTGCATTGCGCTACATTGCATATATTGCAGTGCACAAAATCTCTACTGATAAATCATCATTGTCCCTCTTAAAATGCAAAAAATATTGGGTCCCATCCCCCATTTTCAGACACACTGCTGTTTCCATTTTGGGATGAATTCTTCTACTATTTGGCCGCCAGCTGTAATTTTACAGTCTCTACTGGTACCAGAAGTTACACCGGGCACGTGGTCGAACATGCTTAACCTTCACACACTTGCTCCGTCACCATCCCAGTGCTTAAAACAGCCTGCACTTTCAGTGCTACATCATATACATCTAATATACCTTCCCCCGTGAAATTTCCGAGCCAGCCCGAGCCAGTCCGAGCAACAAAGAATTTGCACAACACAGTGTTGTTGAAGATGGATTCAGATGTGCTCGATGTGCTCGATATGCTCGATGAGCTCGTCATCAAGATGATGATTTTCCGCGCCGATTCAGGGCACTGGCGGTCTCAGAGATGTCCCTGATCCGTGGCCAAGCAATACTGTTCTGAGTTCTCTACAATTAGCAACAACACACAAACAAACAAGCATACTGAGGCATACTGAACATATTTTGATTCTCAGATCTGAATGATTTTTTTCATGGTGACTGTGTCATGTTGCACTGGACCAACGAAAGACTGGCAGAGATTCGTCCGGCACCCTGCCACTGACCGAGTTGTTCGGCTCAGGTCGGCGCGTTGCGCCGGTGGTTTCGATGCAAAATCCAGAGATACAGCCCCTGGGGAATCCCTGCAATCAAACATGAAGATACATGAAGTCTAAATTCGAGAAAATCCCAAGCTATAACACTAAACATATCTAAACATGGCTTCCGATGCTTCTATATAATCAGATCTGTTCTGCATCAATCTTGTGTCCGTCTACCTTAAGACAAGTCTGTTACGAATTCAAAACCACCCTTCCATAACATGCCAGTTGACACCCATCTTACCGCTCTGAGACTTGAGAATCTTGAGACGCGTCTCAGACTTTCAGACTGCTTGCTACCGCAGATGGAACGTTTCGATGAATCAAATAATTATATTTCATACCTGGAACCCCCAGGCACCGGAAAAAGAAAGGGTTGTTTCATGATGGTGAAGATTCCCTACGTCCAGGAACCAGGATGATCAGAGTATTTGGGGAACCCTAAACCCCATCGAGATAGGACTCTATCTCTGCTTATTCTGGGGTTCCAATTATTAGATAGTTCGTGACTGGTTGGTGGTTGAGCCCTACCCCTCTGAAAAATCATGGGGTGAAAGTCAGTCGGGATGATTAGATTATTCCCGATACCCTCTGGTAATTTAACATAGCTATGGAAAATCACCATTTTTAATGGGAAAATCCACTATTAATGGCCATTTTCAATAGCTACGTTAAATTACCAGAGGGTATATGGAAAGTCATAAAAATGTTCCAAAGCACCAACCGTTCGTCATGATATGTCCACAATTTCCAGGTCGTCCACCCGTACTTCAGAAGACTGGGTCAAATCACTAGAAACGGGCCAGCTTTAAACTGGAAGCCATGAAGGACCTCGCAAGGTAAATGATATCTCTATGATATACAGCTCACATCTGCCCATCTCACGGCAAGGTGGGTGTATGGAACAGAAAATTCTATGCGCGTCGCCAGGTCACAACGCTATCCTTCGTGGGGTGGGCTGAAAAGGCTTCCTTTAGGCATCTCACATTGCAAGATGGTCAATCTTAGCTACCCCAAAAAAAACACATATGTTTATAGCCCATATCATATTCCTCCACTTTGCAGACTCAAACAATAAAAATAACAATCAACATGAATTTACATTGAATGTGTTTTTCCTGGTTGGAAACTGTATGAACAAAAACACACATTTGTGTTTTTGTTAATGGTGAACAACATGTTTACTCGACAATGCTACAGTATGATCCTGCTGATGTCCCTGGCGACGGATCCTGCTGCCGTCCGGTCTGTTGACCATTGAGCCTCCAAGCCTCCTGACTGAAACTTGAGCCGATTGACGCGGTGCACAGAAAATTGGCGAAGCCCAACAAAAAACCAGGACTTCACCAGAGGGGATGAAACCCGGATGTCACGATCGACATTTTTTTGGATTTACTTAACATCTTAAGCAACAAACATTAGGACTGAACCATCCAATATCTAAAATAAGGACTTAAACATCCACAATTATGATTTAGGCTAAGCATACTAAACCATGCAACATGAGGCTTTGACCATCCAAAATTAGGACTTACAGTGGCGATCAAAAATGGCATAGGTCGCCATGGAAATGAAACCTTAGTGAATTTTACCAATAGAAGCAGGCAGAAGTCACGTCATAGGGGCACCCAGGAATTTACAATGGTCATTTTTTTTGTATCAAACCATCCATTTTCTCTCGGGTGATAATTGCTAATATATAATTACCGATACCTAATATGGATAATTATGAGTCAAAATTTGAGAAGGGACCACACATTTTGGTTTATTTCTGGATACATAATTTTGACCCATTGTACTCGTGGTAAGTGATCAAGAGTCGAGGTTAAAAGAATTCTGTAAGCGAGAAATCAAGGGCAAAATAGGGCAAACTATGATACATCATCTGGTTGGTGGTTTTAACCATCTTGAAAACTATGAAAGTCAATGGGAAGGATGACATCCCATATATTATGGAAAATAAACACTGTTCCAAACCACCAACCAGTCATACATCTTTCATACATCTTTCTTAATATGGGAAAGCAATCCACCTCGCCAGTGAACCGCCTGAAAGGCGCACCCCAAGTAGGCCCAAAGTCACCAAGTTAGTCCAACGGTTTTCCTTTCAGAAACACCTGCTTCCTGTTAAGGAGAATCTTCACTCGGAGAGTGTCATAGCACTTTTGACTGGTTGTATTCTAATGAACTGTTCAACATTGAGTGAGCAATTTTTTCTGGGGGAATGCCAACAACAACAGGTGGATGATAGATTATCCTTTCTCCTTTCTCCATGTTTCTCCCTTTTTGCCGCTCATTCGCTGAACAAATCAGAATAGAACAGCAGGTTGATGGCTGCAACCACACCTCAGATCTGGACATGCCGGCTGGCAATTGGCAAGTCTCGAATGTGCCGGTCTCGCACGGTTCTTATCCCAAGAGTTGTGATAAAAAGGCTCCGAAAGATATTAAGTCACTTGCGGATCATCTTTGAAGTTTTTTTCCCGATGGAATACAACAATACGGTGAATGTGGTGCAAACATGGTTACCCCAGAATTGGATGGCTACTAAAACAATCCAACACAACTGTGGTCCCCTGAGCCTTGAATGGTAACCGCTTTTTTCCACATGAGCCGCCCTCAAAACTCGATGTCTTCGAATCTTCGCAGTCTTCGCCTTGCTTAAAAAACGATGCTATCGCTCTTTTGGGGAGGCCCTATTGTCAACATTCGCTAACCATGGTTTTGTACTTACGAACATAGAGGAACACATCTTTGTAAAGGAAGAGGAACAGATGGAAAAGAAGAGAGGAAAGGGAAAAGAGGAACAGGAGAAGAGAGGAAAGGGAAAGGAAGAAGAGAGGAAGAGGAATGGAAGAGGAAAGGAGGAAGGCAGGGTCTATGTCACGTTTCAACACCAACAGGGCCACATTATCTCTTTCAATCGGAGAAGAAAAAGGCCCCGTCTCCACTATCCGCCTGAAATCAATCGCCCACAGATTTTCCGCACACGGACGCGGCAACTGTAAGGCAGCATTTGCGATTCTAAGTTGGATCCACTTATTTCCGTGTCTAAAAATAGGGTGCCCCAAGATCCAATTGATTATCATACATTCATACATATTTTGTCATTTACTGTAATCTCATTTTATGGATTATCATTGGTTATCATGGATTATTATCATGGACTATCATTCCCTCAAATACATTCCATAATTTCTATTGCTATTTGGAGGGTATACCCCATTTTTGACAACGGTTGGATCAAACACGACCGGCTGGCACCGTTTTTTCGCGGAGTGGACCGATCTGGAGATTTTTTTTTGTGCCGTCTCTAGTGTCCTTAATCAAAGTCCATGGATGGTGATGATCCCTGAATTCTTATTGCATCTTTTTGCAATCCTAATCAATCATTAGCATATATCAGCATCAGTGGCTGATGTTGTATGGCTGTTTGATCAGTGTTGGACTGCAAGCTGCTCCAGAATCAGTGGTGTTAACCCTTAATGCTGCTGAAATATCCAGCAAATTCACATGTTGTGTTTGGATCTTGTGCTGGAAGCCGAGTGATTGTGAAGTGCACTGATGTGACACATTGGGTCTGGATTCCCCCCATGGATTCCACGATATTCCACAGCTTCCCAAACCGCGGAACGATCGCCGAACGATCGCCGGGCACCCGGACAGAAGGTGCTGCCCGGACTGTTGGACAAGCCGTAGCAGGGCAACGCTGAGGCCTCGGGAGTTCCATGTGATCCCTCGGTCCCAGTTGGTCCCGCGATGTCCCACGGCGAAATCGCGGTAGGCGCCCCACAGGAGTCACTAGCACCTGCGCGTGGAAAGAAACGTGGAAAAGTCAGCTATTGACTGCGCTGTCACATGGCTCCAGCAATTTGCAAGTAGATATTAGAAGAACTATGGGGTATAATGGTGTAGGGTAATTAGGGTAGTAGTCTTGCTCGGAACTAAGATTGAACACTGACAAAATGGTCTGGAAAAATCTGGAAAACTGATCTCACAATAGCAACTCGTTTGTAGTTCTGCAGACTCCAAACTTTTCGACCAAACTCAGCACTGTACATACATGGATGACATCAATGATGGGTGCAACGTGATTCATGCATGTAGTCTAGCAGGTAAGCGCACCAGTCTAGCAATCAAACACTGCACAACTCTTGGAATTTAGTGGCACATAGTCACTAGTGAATCACAGCAAGGAACCTACCTGAAAAAACCTTGCACCATGCAGAAACATCCCAATATTCTCCAAGGTCCGCACAGGCGCATAGAGCAACCAAACTCCAAGTTGAGGCCTGGTGAAAATTGGTGAAAGGTGGCACTGCCGAAAATGGTGTTTTGCACATGAGCATCACACCAAGTTCTTGGGATTCCATTAATTCCATGTCAGATCTTCAGCAAATTTCAGGGGTGTATCGCCAAAAAAACAGCCCATTAAAAATCCTTTTAAACAGCCCGAAAAAACTGACCGACTTCTTTGAACAGAAAGTGCCGCATGCCGCATATGTGGAGGAATGGGTGAGTCTGGATGAAATCCCAACCACATGGGGATAGATCGATAGATCACAAGGGAATAAACATCGGCCAGCTATAGCAGCTATAGCAGCTATAGGACACCTGGGTACCAATGGGTACCAGGCTTTTGATCATATCAAAGCCAGGTTTCCCCAACATTTTGGCCTCCCAGTCCCCAAGATCTTGGGCCACCAGCCAGGTTTTTCTGCTCACTTCAGTTTGCCCACGCAGCCACTGAAGGGCAGCTGGTTCTGAAAATTTCTGGGCTTCCCCTGGGGTAAAGATACAAAAGTTGGCAAAACTCCACATCATCATTGCTTGCTTTACACGAAGGTATCCCATTTGGATCCAAAAAATGGGTGTCTCTGAAGAGTGGCTGGAGCCCAACATCCCTGGTGTGTTTTTCATTTGTGATCGTGAAATACCAGCGGAAAAAAGGGTCCCCAATAAAAAGGACACACCGGACACACCCACCCAGGCAGCATGGGCAACTTATGACTTAGCCACATGGGCCCCAAGTGGGAAGCAACACACTACCAGCGTTTTTTTCCTGCGCAAGACACTACTCACTACTACAAGTACATCAAAAAAAATGTCAGAATCCATATGCGATAATGATCATTCTGACAAAGGCTGGTTGGTGGTTTCGATCAGGAAGAGTCCATTAGAAAAAACCATCCCTAGAGGGTTGAAAAGCGAACATCTACCTGCTCGTTTACCATGATCCCAGGATTGAACAAAAACATGTCTGAAACCACCACAGCCGGGAACATCTGGAGGCTAAACCTTTGAAAGAACCCAAAAAAACGGTTCCAAAACATGTGAAAGAGCCAATGGATGGTTTCATCATGTCTCAAATGGTCTCAGATTCTCACAAAGAACTAATCATAGAGTCTTGATAACTTATAGATACTGGTTGGTGGTATACCTACCCCTCTGAAAAATATGAGAGTCAGTTGGGATGATTATTTCCAATATATTATGGGAAATAAAATTCATGTTCCAAACCTCCAACCAGCCATTCATATTCCATTACCGGAGGGTTAATCACCATTAAATCACCATTAAGTCACTATCAATATATATATATATAGATGATGTTCCCATTAAAAGCTCCATTTCATGCGCTGACAGCTTCCCAGCTTCCCAGCTTCCCAGCTTCCCAGCTTCCCAGCTGACAGCGTCCCGTCCGTTTTGACCTCGCGAAGGTGAAGCGAGACACCCACCAACGCTGCGAAAGCAACGCCTCGAAGGTCAAGCGGCGCGTTGAGGTGCCCCAGTTCGTGAAGTTGGGTAACTCCAATAACTAGGGTTTATGAAACATATTCATATATATATATAGATGTATACATATATCTGATATTCATATTTATATAATTTATAATTACATATAATTACATTGGGGATTTGATATTTATATAATTTTCTATATGTTTAATGGATATCTGATATGATTTTCTGTAAAGTGAAGGATCCATGAACCCAAGTCCAAGGCTTTCCTGACTTGGAAAGTGACTGCACCACTCACAGCACTGAACATGCCAAACATTCCACAAGCATCATCAAGCATCACAATCCCATAGGATCCATGTATGGTATATATACTAACATTGGGGGTATATTGATGGTAAATGTTACCATATATAGCATACATGGATCCTATGGGAATAATTGGATCCTAAATCTCTAAACCACCAAGCAGCAAAGCTTTGCCTGTTGTTTTTTCCAACCTTTACTGGTTGGTGCCTTCAGAATATCCCCAAGAAAATGCTCAGATGGGATGGCTTCACTGCCCACAGTGGGATGCTTCTGCCTAGTGTCGCTGCTATGGCTGTGCTGCGTCTCCGCTCTTTGTGCGTCAGCAACATCTCACTTTCCAGGGCTAATCGCTCCTGGCGATCGAGACAGTGCTACCAAGGGAATGAGAGGCCTCCAAAGATCTCAAGCTGGTGGGAAATTCACCATGTACAATGTTTACAGATGTATGTTATGGTATTTTTTGTCCTGTCTTTAAACACATGCAGCTTGGAACGCCCAAAAATGGATCTCAGTCAATATGTCCAAACCTTTGGAATATCCAGATTCCATCTGACAATGACCAAAGAATTTGGGACAAACCCATCTTTTGCCATACCCAAATCGGACAAAGTACAGGGATAAATGGGATAAACCATGTGTATCCATGTGTACCATAGTCAAAGCATGGTACAGTATACGTGGTATGGTCATCCATACCATAAAGAGAATCCTTACAATGGGATACAATGGGTACGATGTACTATGAATCTCCATTATATAATCGACTGATGACCATCCCCCTGTGGGCAACATTTTTGACCATTGCACATGTTTGGGTGGTTGTTTGTTGGGGCTGTACATGGAGCGTTGCTCACCTAATTCGCCCATTTCATCTCTGAAAAAACGGTGAAATGCCATGGACATGATGGAATATAGGTTTCATAAATTGCTGAAAACAAATATAGAGCTCAGCAATTGTCATGTTCAATGGGAAATGCGTCCTAAATGCCTCCATTGAATTTCCAGATCAACAACAGCCATTTGGCCGAACCGGCCGAACCCTAGATTTACACCAAACTAGCTGAGACTTCCCATGGGATCCCAATATGCTCATCCTCCAAATTTTCGAAAATCACGATAATTGAAATTTTCTTCCTGGATCGGTCATTGCGTTGTGCATTATTTATCATTATTTCATTCACTTAGCTATATGTACAGTACTCGAAAAATAGCAATTAACTGATCAATCATAGTTAAGTTAACCAATTTTTGAACCTCCAATCGATCTGATCAATCACATCACATCAGACCTCACAAACAACTACTAGGTACCTATTAGTCACTTGATGATGGCTAACCCATCAATTAGTGAATGGTTAACCCATCAACCAATTGTTCTAATATTATTTCCGAAGATCTTAGTCAATTCCCTCCAAAATAGTAAAATCATGTAAAATCTATCAAGGAAAGTAAATTAACCCTTAGTATACAACGGTTCCCTTAGTAAAACTTATTCTTGTCTATTTGGGGACCATGGAACATAACTAAGTATCGGTTTCACTCCCATCATGTGGCAATCATCCATGACTTAGGAAACCTCCATATGCTTAACACATACAGTTAGTGTATATTTATTGGTGTATAGTTAATACCCATGAAACATCTCCTTTCACCATATGAGCGCTCATATATGTTCAATGGTTAAACATTCGCTTGAACCATAGATATAAATAGTGCTTCAACAACAAGCACATGGGTGAAATATGAGGGTCTTTCCTGAAATGGGGGTAGCCCTAAATCATCCATTGATCAGATTTTCCATGTTGTAAACCTGCCAGTTGGGCCGGCACCGCCCCAGCAGGGCGCTGCAACAGGAAGCGGCCACCCTTCAGAACGCCGCCAACCTGAAAAACGATGGCCAGCGGCTGATCCCAGGAAGGAATACATGGCAAACGGAAACCATCACTGAACATGTTCACGGTAACTAGGGTAACTGGTTGTTGAAAATGTTAATGAACATGATAATATATGATAATGATGATTGTTTCAGCTCATACAACACATGATGTTTCTGTGTGATGTTTTTTTTGTCATTTTCTTGTCCAATCAAGAATGCGCAGCTTGGTTTTTACAGCAAAAACATTGGTTGTTATGCATCTTCATCCCCCCATCAACTGAGGGTCCCATTAATGCTGACATGACGCATTCCACAGAAAACCCCAGTATGAGACACATCGTCAAGCCAACTTGGCCAAAGAGGAAACAACATGAAACAACAACACAATAACGAATTTATCTTGAGTTCTAAGACCCTCCCCAGTAGCATTGCTGATAAACCACATGTTGGCCAAGTTGGGCGAAGTGGTGTGCATCTATTACTACCCCACAGTGCGTCCAAACCACAGCACTGGGATGATGACAAATAATAAACCAGAGACGGTGATTTTTTTCCGTGGAAAACATGTTCTTCAGCTAACCAGGAGCCATTGAAATTTAAAGTTTTCTCCGGTTTTCCTTCATGGCTAAAAAGGTCCTTTCTCATTTGCACCGCCATCACTCAGAAAACATATGGCTCTTTGCAATTTCACAATCATCCAGGTTCACCCAAATCTGATCAGAAATTCACGGCTTTCCTCTGGAGTAAAATTGCTGAAGTCGTGTACAATTTAGATATTTTCAATCCAGGTCCAGAAGAAAAATCGGGATTTGGAATGATTTGGATGGCTAGGTTCTAGATCTTCGAGCTGTTTAGGACCCATGGCGATCCATAGCATTAAGAGGTACAGGGGCACCTTCCCCGTATGCAGCTCGCACACGCTTCCGGGAATCCAATCTGGAAGGGGCGAGCCTCAACGGTGGCAACACGACCTCTGACCTCTAACCTCTGGGAAAATCCAGGTGGTTCCTTACTTCTCAACTGAGTTGCAAGTAGCCTAAGTGGGGGATATGTGTGTGTCTGAAACTTAAGTTATCTGCAACTTGGTGATCATCACTTTCCCTCTTCATCAATGGCCGGGGGTATCCCTGTCTTGGACTCAGGAGATCTGGCAGAAATTGAGGCAGAAATTCTTCAACATGAGACCACAAAGTGCTGCGTATTTTTTTTCCCCATCTGCCAGGTGAGGGTTGTTAGATTTTATCAGAGCTGTTGTCCTCCTCCTCCTCCTTCTCCTCATCCTCCGCCTCCTCCTCCAGTTTCTCCTCGACCATGTCTGCATCAACTTCCACCTCCACTTCCGCCTTGCCAACTCTTCGCCAAGCTCTTCGCCAACTTCCGAGCTCAGTGCGCACTGCTGGACCTCAACCTGGGACCTTCCCAGCTCAGTGCGCACCGCTGGGCCTCAACCTGGGACCTTCCCAGCTCAGTGCGCACCGCTGGACCTCAACCTGGGACCTTCTGAGCTCAGTGCGCACCGCTGGACCTCAACCTGGGACCTGCCGAGCTCAGTGCGCACCGCTGGACCTCAACCTGGGGCCTTCCGAGCTCAGTGCGCACCGCTGGACCTCAAAAGCCAGAAAGAATGCCAGAAGGTATGCCAGATAGAATGTCAGATATAATGCGAGAAGATATGCCAGATAAAATGCCAAATAAAATGCCATAAGATTTGCCAGATGATATGCCAGATAGAATGTTAGAAGATATGCCAGAAGGTATGCCAGATAGAATGCTAAATAAAACGTCAGATAGAATGCCAAAAGATATGCCAGATAAAGTGCCAAAATGTTTGCCAGAACATATGCCAGAAGATTTGCCAGATAGAATGTCAGAAGATATGCCAGAAGATACGCCAAATAGAGTGCCAGAAGATATGCCAGAACATATTGCAGAAGATATGCCAGGTAGAATGCCAGAAGATATGCCAGATAGAATGCCAGAAGATATGCCAGATAAAATGCCAGAAGATATCAGATAGAATGCCAGAAGATTTGCCAGTAACAAACTGATAGATGTCATGGTGGGGATAAATCGAAGTAAAGTAATTTTCAGTACAACTACTCTGGTGTCATCAAACATGGTTTGCTAAGGAAAATCAGCCATTTTAAGGTGCGATGATTCTCCCGTTTAAATAGATGTCCCAGGTCGCCATAGCTAGCCATGTTTGATGACACCAGAGGTTAACCATCCAATTCTTGGTGGATTCTGATCATACAATGTCATACAACCCACAATGGGAATCCTTACAATAGATGTATCTACCCCCATCAATGGATTGATGATCATCCCTGAATATATCTATATCCAGTAAAATCCGGCATAATCCAGTATAATCCAACTTTTGACTGTAGCACATATGGATACCGTCAGATCCACATGTTTCTTGATTTCCCCCTATCCCGGAAGTGAAACACTTCTGGAAACCCTTCAACAGCACCGAAATCTCGTTTCCTGGTCTGGAATTCCTGCCTTTGAAGGGTGGAAGCGACTTCAGCAAGTTAATGACCTAGTCGCAGTGCAGGTCAAAAACACCCGGAATTTGTGGGATAAGAAGAAAGGGCAGGAAGAGATCAACATAGACCAATGTATATGACGCAGAAAGCCAAACCCACTTGGGTCGTGAACTAAGTGGCAAAAAACAAGGCTTCCCTCATCCAAACATCAAAAACTCCTCATTCTGAATGATCGTTTCATGCTTCATGTCCGTTCACGAAGATCATTGCAGGTGGGTAGCTGGCAGTTGCTGGCGACAGACGGCCATGCTGAAAATTCTTCGACACTTAAAATGTGGATATCCTCAACAAATGTCTACCTTCCCACAATCTTGGCGGGAAATTCCCTCATAATATGCAGGTTTTAATGAAAATCTTGATGGGAAGATCATCCGATCCATGAAACGTGGGATTTTCCATTGCCAGATGCTCCACGACTTTGAAACTCGACTTCTGGCAAACGATCCTTAAGAAACATGAACCTGGTTGGTGGTTGAGCCTACCCCTCTGAAAAATCTGAGTTCGTCAGTTGGGATGATGACATTCCCATATATATATATATAAATGAAAAAATAAAACATGTTCCAAACCACCAACCAGTGAACCCTTTTTGGATCTTCTCTGCCATGGCAATCTTGGTGTGTCTGAACATTTATAGGGAAATCATACCTCGAAATTGAGGTTTAATCATCATGTTCCGCATTAAAACCTGTCATTGTATGGGGTTCTTCCACCATTTTCACACACCCAAAGATTTTGTTGGGCTTCTATATCCCCGTGAAATATCCTGATTAAGCACCATGTTTACCATTCAGATGCATCAACACAATCATTTTTTTGGCGGCCTGGCGTTTGATTTCCCATCTTCACACAACTTTGATGCTTCATCAATCTCAATCACAATTTTTCATATTAATTAAGATTACTTTGCTGAGAATTCAAACATGTTTCTTTCCATATGAATTGATTCACCTGACATTTAAAAAGGGCCACTTAAAAGCCATGAAACACATCCAGTCGTCCGAGTCGTCCGCACGGGATGGTCGGGCACATCCACTCGTCCAGCTAAGCGATCGCCCAGTTGATGAGCGGCCTGGGGCTGGAAGGGCTGGAAGGGCTGGAAGGGCTGGAAGGGCTGGAAGGGCTGGAAGGGCTGGAAGGGCTGGAAGGGCTGGAAGGGCTGGAAGGGCTGGAAGTCTGATAGAAATGCGGATTTCCATTGATTTCCATGGTCATCATGGTCATGAAATGATGATCTGATGGACGTTGTGATAACAAAAAATCGCGGATTTCAGGGTGATTGAAGTTCTGAGTGGGATATCACGGAATGAAAAAAAATATATATATATATGTGTGTGATTATCCTCTGGTTATTTCACAGTTTGCCATTGGGAAAACGGACCATTGATAGGAAGATTAACCAAAAATGACCTGGGTTTGCTTATGTCCACGGTGGTCTGGGATATGTTTTGGAAAATCCACCAGCCCTAGGGTAACCGTGCTTAACCGTGCTCCTTGAACAAACGTGGAAAACCCGAGCGGGGAAAGCCGACCGGAACATGTTCTAATTGCAAATGGTGGGTTTATAAATATATATACACATATACTATGATACAGGACGGTATGTGATATGGGATATACATAATACTATGATATCATATTATATCATAGCATTCTGTTCATACTATGCTTATCGGATATGGGATGTATCATACTATATTGTGATTCCTAAGATGTATCAAGAAAATATACGTGTGGACGCATATGATATCTGATTTTGTGTAGGTAGGTTGCAAAAGAATATATCACAATGATATACGCACATGGGATACAGAAATACGTCGATGATATTATTGGATTATTATATAGTGATTTACATATATGAATATATATATGATATATCAAGATATATATTTTTGAGTATTATTTAAACACATGGATTTCCTATACTATTACTGTAACGTATCATCCACATGTTGAGATTACACAATTGGACGATCCACAAGCTCTTTTCGGATCCCGACAGGGTGATGCATCATATCAACCACCAAATCACCAGCAAATCATTAGCAACGCAAATCACCAACCATCATGGAACCATCAATTCATAATCAACTGATGATTATCAAATCACCATTAATATGTTGATTGTGAATTGATGATTATCAAATCGCAACCACTCTAGATAATCATCATCAAATCATAAATAATCATATTAATCATCAATCAAATCATCATTTTCATCCTCCTGCCGTTGACATATCTGCGTAGTGAAAACCCCCATGTCGCGCCAGCTCGACAGCATCTGCCAGGATCCAGCCATCCTGCTGGTTGGTTAATAACCGACCTTAAATATCCTTAGATAATGGTTCGGGAAACCAATGATTATCAATGATGTCTTTCTGGAAAAATGTTCATTTTCACGGATTTCGACCTAACGATTATTTAGGTAGGTCAATTGGGAAAGTACCATTGAAGTGACAAGACATCGTTTCATGGAAATGTATCATGGACCTTAGTATTCATTGACGTGGGTACGAGTCACAATTGGGTACCCCAACACTTAATTAGATGGTTAACTATAAATGAATAATCAACTGGGTACCCCAACATATAATTGATTATTGTTAATTTTCACACTGGGTACCCCAACTGGGTATGATAATCAATTCTGAAAATCGACATTGAAAAATCTGTGGTCCCCTGGGTCTTAACTGAAAAAACCCGTCTGCCGCCGTGGTATTCCTGGAAACCAGTCTGCCGACATGACAAGACATGGTGGCTCATCAAAAATATCAAAATTGTAATGACAATTCTAATATTTATTGATGTTTGCCATGACTATTAATCAAAACCATAGCAATGGTATGTATATGAATCAAAATCATAGAAACATACTGTATGATTTATATTGAACGACCAGTTTTTGTCGAGTGCGGGACGTTGTGGGTCCCCAGTTTTTACGTCATTTTTAGCAGTTTTTTGTTATTTTTAATGCATTTATTTTATTTCTTCAAATAAATTCTTACTGATTAAGTATGGTTCTAGATATGACAAAGTTTATTCTAAGTTCATCAAGTTAAGACATAATATGAACATTTTTATTAAAATTATATACTGCGTCACATACCCTAAATCGCATTTGAATTCAAATAATGACGAAACAAAATCTATGCTACATATTGGGGATGCCAAAGCAAAGGAGTGTCAAAGGAAAGGGATCTCAAAGCCAATGGTATGTCACTGCAATGGGATGGCAGAGCAATATAGAGAATGCTAGTCGATAGAGTGGAGGCCAGTGCGATAGAAGTGGAGATATGACAGTGCCTTAGAGAATCAAATATGATATGGTTGCAGGAGTCTTGAAAGGAAGATCACGAAAAGAAAGATGAGCTGAACACCAGCTGCAAGCCACCTGATGAAACAAAGGCCAAGAAAAAGAGGACCAAGGCATGAAGGTTCAGAAAGTACCAAATGGAAAGAAGAAATTTCGTACCCAGACTCCGAAACGTTAATGTCAATCTATGTTTTTTTCCGGTGCTTCATTATGCTTCTCTGATTTATGGAAATCCATTATTTGGATGTTACAAGGGGTTGCGTCTTAGCAGTTCTAGGTTATACATATTTAAACAATATGTGTATTCACATGGACAATTTCTTGTATGGCGTGTTGCAATCTATTGCTGATTATGGCATTGAGACGTGGAAGATTTCATGAGCAAGCAGTAACGATTCAGTGTGTGCATCTTCTCTTTTTTGTCCGACGAGCGAGACAGCTGTGAGAGATTTTGAAGCGGAACCGCTCTGGCACCTTTGATTTGATGCATTGCACCAACGAATGACGGAATTGCAAAATGATGGCGGAAGAGTTTGGGTTTGGGAAGATGTTGGAAATATCTTCTAGTCCACATCATCAAATCATTTCTGTGCGGGTCTCTTCAAGACGGCTTGCTTCTTGACCCTACACTTATATTTGCGGCTGGCTGGCTTCTGCAGCACGCCGGCTCGCTTCAAAGTGGACTTACGGGCAGACCAAGGATTGAGGTGCTGCATGTCATCTAATTTTTGCAAATGATTGTGTCGACGCGAGTAAGCCAACACATAGAATCTTTGGTGTTTCGCGTTCATGGAGTTGAATGTGGAGCTGTACCCACGGAACCACGAAAACACCTGTTCAGAAATCGATGTGTTGACTCTTTTCAGTCGCTTATCGATTGCTGGCACCACAGACGGGGAACATTTACATTTGTTGCAATGTCCCTTTGCGTGGAATTTGTCTACACACCAGAACTTGACAGGCTTCAAATCCTGTGTGTTCTTAGCCTTCTTGAAGATGCTACAGGCTCGATCGTAGAGTACTGCATCCACTTTGGGATAATGCGGTAGCAAATTTTGCACAAGATTGAGCGCAACATCCGAATTCTCTGGATCTTTCATCTCAAAAAGGCCTAGGATGACTCCGGTCCCAGGGTGTGTCGCCATGAACCAGCCGTTGTAGAACAATTTGACATGGCCATCCTTCCGAGGACGACCACCGCGAGCTGGTGCTTCATGATAGCACTTTGTGGCGATCTTCTCGTGGCCATCGACAGCGATCTCTTTGACAGACTGCGACATGCGATGGGGAGTTTCGATGGTTTGCCACCATCGGTGGAAGTCCCGAAGATGCCCTTCATGCACAGGATCATCTACGCGAATTGTGCGAAGTTTCTGAATGGAAGTGCTTGGCATAGTGGATTTCCACATGACCGACAGTTCGCTCATGACATTCCAGAGAAGACCTTGTTTGTAATGCTGCAGAACAATGCATATATATTCCTACACATTGATTGTTTCATCATGACAGACTCGTTCCAAACACAGTGGAGAAACTGATAATATACACATAGGGCTACCAATAGTATTAAGTAATTGCTCAACAGAAAACAATAATGATATATATATATATGAATATTCTCTTACATACATATACGAAAATTAAATATATATATATGTACTGCATCAGACTGGTTAATAGATTGAAGCAAATTTTTTCATCCATACCAAGAGACGAGCCAATGCATAGTCCTTGTGAAATCGAGCATGTGCATGGTCATCTGCCCATAATGCGTTCGTTTGGGACCAGGCGATGGCGTGATTGCTCAAGTAGCCTCTGAATTGCAGGGCATCGTGATAAGCAAGGAAGGAGACGTGGAACCCGGTGTTGGCGGTCACGAAGATATACTCGGCCTGGTTGGGATCGAGCGAATTGGTCTTGATGCCGTTGCTCCACACGAAGTTGTAGTAGTGGGAGGCTTGGCATGACTTCTGTCCACATCGCATAGGCTGGTGCAGGACAGTCTCGGGACCTTCGAGTCTATAAATGCCGTAGAGAACTGTTTGCGCTTGGGATATAGACAAGATCCACACAGAGCACAATTCTTGAGGGGTGTTCGCACGGACTTCACTGTGGAGGATCCATCCGCACGGCCACGACCTTGCAAGTGATATGCCTCTGACATCGACATTTCCGTCTTCAAGTGCATCTGTTTCAGTTCGAAGAAAGTCGTCTTCAAGTGCATCTGTTTCAGTTCGAAGAAAGTCAATGCATCAGATTTTTCCAAAGCAGATGCAAAGGTTTCCCATCGAGCAGTCACTTCGAAAGAAGGAATCTCAGAATCAAATAGCCTTGCCTCATCCTCAATCATCACAAAGGACCACCAGTGTCCTTGACATTCTCCAGAACGTTCATGACAAAGGATCGGGTGCGCTGGGACAACGGAGAGCAACTCATCCTTGGAGATGCAATGCAATTGCCAAGCAGTGTCGGCTGCAGAGTCTGCATCTGCCAAAGCTTCATTGAATTGATGAGCGGAAAGCGAGGACTCTGGCTTGTCTTGCAAAACTTGGCGCAAACTACTGAGATCAACATGAGGTGCAACACCTTGAACAGCAAAGAGCAAACAGTTTGCCGGAGTGGAAGGAATTTCGACTTCCATCATGTTCACGATGTTCTTGCACACCAACATATGCAAGAAAGTCTTCATACTTTGCGGCTCACTTTTGATCTCGACGGGGATGATGTTGTGGGAAGTTTCTGCGCAAGCACGATGCAACCAAAAGAGATCTTGCACAGATGTGCACGACACAATGCCTCCGTCAAAGAGAGCAACCTCCATTTTCACATGCGCATGGGTCCGAATGGTGTCCAATAGGTCAGCTTCATCGAATGATAGCAAAGAACAAAGCCGACTGAATTCAGGATGTCTGCGATCATTGTACAAATCAGAAAGATGAGTATGTCTGTGATCTTGTAGAATCAGATGAGCAGCTGCCTGAACTTCTTCCCCAAGCTTGCGGAGCCATGGAATATCGAAACGCGGGTTGCCACCGTAGAAGATGCGGAGAAGTTCCTTTTTTGCCTCCTGGACATCAACGCAAAGATACTGAGCCAAAACTGACCGCCATGACTTGTAGTTCTCACAGAAGAGACGAAGCATCTGGAAACTACCTGCCTCGTCCAATCCCATATCTCGAAGTTTTCGCAAGAGAAGACGAGGATGGCAACAAGCTGCATCAATCTCAATGGCATGGGGGAAGGCTTTTCCACGAGCTTCTCGAGTGAGTTTTTGTGCAGCAGGGCCACGAGCAAGTAAACGACCATAATTGGGGGCCTTGTAGTACTCGACAGAGATAGTAGAAAAGCGCCACACGCGAACTCCTTCAGAAGCATGACGATCAACATAGGCCCGAAGCTGCGAAGTCCTTCTGTCTGAGCCACTTTCCAAGTAGGCTTGCAAAGCCTCCAAGTCCACTGTTTCCTGCAATGTTGCTACAGTCGGCCGGATTTGAGATGAGAGACTTCCGTGATGAGTGACATTTCCTTGACATTCATTTTGCAAGTCCACAAAGAGATTTGACTCCCATTCTTGCTGCAGATGCCGCAGATCAAAGGTGCAGCCCCAATCTTTCCACTGACCGAAAGCAAGCGCACCACCATGAGCATCCATAGCTGCAGCCAAAGAAGCCCAATCCACCAAGAGTTTCTCGAAAGCATGCTGATCATGTTGACGAAAGAGTTTGATGGTGGAGTGGTCCAAGGCAGAAAGAAAGAACTGCAACTTGGTTCGTCGACCACGGGTAGACTGCACAGCTCCTGGAATATCTTCAACCTTTGAAATGAGATACTCCTTGATGAATGTCTTCATGGGCGTTTTCCGATGCACGATCGTGATCAATTCGTCGTTCTCTGTCTGGAGGTCAATGTCTGTGCCTGGAGGAGGGCCATTCCAGCCGGACAAGCGAGAAGCCAACCAATTGGTGTCGTTGACCAAGTCCTCATGTACATGGCTAAGATCCAGGATCATTTTCAAACATTCATCCAAAGAGTTTTCCTGAAAGAAGGGCAAGCACCAATCTCGAAAGAAACATGAAGCCGTTGCAGGATGTGTCAAGAAAGGGACCAGCTCATCTTGCGGAATGAGACGGAAAACCCCGTGTTCATAGTTCACTGCATGGTCGTCAAGCACGAAGCGAGCCTTCCCCATACGAAAGCAAACGATGCGACGCTTGAGATGCTCACAAGCCTGGAGTCGATCTCGACACTCCTCGATGGTCGGGATGTTCTCAAAGTTGAGTTCCTGAACTTTCATAGATGACCCAAATCGTCGTTTGGATGTAAATCCATAATTGACACGACAATCTATTTCTTCATCGACGATGAATCTTTTCCAAAGATCTGCAACGAATCTTGCGTGCTGATCCATTTCCTGGATACGCACATTCGCCTTGTTCCATGCGAACTCGGCAGACTTGCGGAACTCCTGTCGATCCAAGAACACGCCACAATCCAAAGTTGCAGATTGATCTTCACCTAATACAGCACGATCAAGATAAGCTTCCATCCCCTTGCCATCGCCGCCTTTGCCAATCTCGAAGATCATCTTTGAAGTGCAAGCCTTTTTGAATGCGGCATGTAAAAAACAAAGTTTCACTTGAAAGATATGTTCGTTCTGAAAGTAGAGCGACTCCAAGAACAAACGTAATCCTTCTTGATGCTGTTGGAGATTGATGTTCGGATACTCCTGCAAGAGGTTTTCTATGTAGAAGGCATAGTCCACATGCATGTAGCAGTCATTGGACGGGCTTTTGCTTGCAGGTTTCCAATCTGCATCCAAGTACACGTCTCTGAAGCAAACACCCTGTGACTTTGGCAATGGAGTATCCCATTCAAGAAGAAAAAGCTTTGAGAGTGACTGGACCTTGTTCGAATCCCAATTCACTCGGAATGAAGCCAGCATGTCTGCACATCGACGAAGCCAAAGTGCTTTCCATGCCTTGTTGGATGTGACTTGCCGCAGATGGTCACTTGCTTCTTTGGCTACATTCCCGAAGAAATGGAGAGCGTCATGGACATGTCCTTGGATCGTATCAGAGACAACATCCCGAATAGCATTCCAATTCCATGCTGGTCTTGCATCTCCTTCTTGATCTTCGAAGTGCTTCGAGACGGTCAACAACAAACCTTCAACAGCAAGAAATAGATCCCAGACTTCGATGGTGAGAGACGGCTTCATCTTCCACACACCATTCTCATAGTAGAACATTTGACGATCATGTGCACGCCAGTGTTCACCATCAACAAGCATAATGAGAAGAAGCTTCTGCTTCGTCGACATTTGGTAGTTGGAAACATTCATGGATGCGATGCAGTTCATGAGCTCCATCATTGTGCGAACATGGACAGGAAGATTTGGATAATGGTTGCTACCCCATGTGCGATAGTTCTTCCATACATCCAAGAGTGATTTGGCTTGTTCAGGTCGAACATCAGGAGGAGGAGGAGCGAGATGGGCAGAGCGCTGCACATCGGAAAACGCACGGAACCTGAAAGAAAAGCAGGAGACAACTCAAGTCTATGAAGCGGTATGCCACAGCCATATGAACAACATGAAATACGAAACTGTATGGCTAGAGAAATCCGAATACTGGAAAGCTGGAAACATACGTCCGAGAAACAGATCACGACCACGTAGACGCTTCGCAGGAGGCGCATCGATTTCGGGCGGTTGCACTTCGGGCGATGAGGCTTGGAGATGTGCTCCATCCGGATAGTCGGCGTCCATCGCCATCTCGATCTCTTGAGTCAACCCCACTGACTCAGACATGAGCAACGATGGACGCACAAAAGACAAAACTTAGGAAGTTCGTGAGCTGGTCAGGCGTGCTGCGGGAGAGTAAACATATGAAACACAAACATGATCGACGAGACTGTCGAAGTTCATGCGCACATAAGTAATATGCGGACCAATACTTGACAGGCAAAGATGAATGCTGACAGTCGAGAACACTCGAAAGACAACATCTAACACAAATCAAAAATGCGGCTGCCAATGTTGACATGCAATGATGAATGCAGAGTTTCGAGAATGTTTGGAAGACAACATGCAACGCAAGACAGAGTGCACGTAATTTCTTTTCCGACCATCCAAGTCCAATCGCTAGCACGGAGAGACATATGCTGATACGTCTTTCCATGACGTGTTCATAAATGTGGCATCACTGGAACAATCGCCCGAGACGATCAAGTCCATACTAATTGCAAGAAAAGAAGATTGGCATTGATCCATTCACTATCTGCACAGTCATCAGCGGGATCAGGTAACATCGGACGAAAACGAGCATGCTCATCGACCTCGAATGGGCAAAGTCGACGAACGATGCGGTGAAGATCTTGCCGACGGCCTTCTTCGTCACAGACTTGGATGGAACGTAACAGCTCTCTGGCTCGTTGCATTTGTCGTTCCCAGATGTTCTTTGGCACGATGTCATCGACGCGAGGGATGAAAGGTTGAACATTGGCATAGCGCAGAATGATCTCGTCATATTTCCGCACCATCCCATCTCGCGCCATTGTCCTCTTCATGGAACGCTGAGTATCGGAAAGCATAGGAGGTGGTCCAGAGGCCATTGCTTCGAAGAATCTTTTACACAAGTTTATAGAGCGAGCGATATGCAGAGCCAGACTGCACATGAGAAAGCACAGTCAGAATCAACAAACAGCATGAGTGGATGCTGGCAGTGTGACAAGCGATCCGGAATTTGTTGCAGCTGAACTACAGATTAGAAGTATCGTGAATATAATTCTATTTATTGGCGTTTTATAGATATTGTTATTTAATTTTTTTTGACCTTTTGCAGAATATGGATCGTGATCCTTATTTGGTTGAACATTCAAGTATGATTGCATGCATGATGGCCCAGGGAGCCAACTAGAGACAAATGACTTTTCTAGCAGACAAGATACCCTAGAGAGTTGCCAAGAGACAGATGCACGTGTAACGGACAAGGATGAGGCTGAAGACTCAATGGCTTAAAGAGCCTCCAAGGTACAGACGAGTGTGCAGCAAACATGATAGCCCAGAGAGTTATCTGGAGACAGACAACATTGTAATAGACAAAATAGCCCAGAGAGGCACCTAGAGACAGATGACATTGCTTGAGGCAAGATAGCCCAGAGAGCCATCCAGATTTTTTATCATCTTATTCTTCGTGTTCCCTTTATACCTGTTCTCCTTTTGTTTTCTTGTCAAGGCCATGGGATATCGAAGCAATGGAGGGGATCCCAGTCTGCTTACTATGGGGCAGAGACCAATCAAACAGAATAGGAGACAGGACAGTGTCTCCCTAGATGGGCTATCTTGGTGGCTCTAGGTGGCTCTCTGGGCCATCTTGCCTGCTACAGCCTCGTATGGTATTCTTATGGGATTTCCAGTGGGTTCTTATGGGATTTCTATGGTATGTCTATGATATTTCTATGGAATTCCTATGAGATGTCTGAGGGAAATCTATGATATTCTTATGGGATTTCTTTGTGGTACCTATACTAATTCTATGTTATATCTATGATATTTTCAGATGATTCCTCCCCTCCCCTAGCTGGGCTATCTTGGTGGCTCTAGGTGGCTCTCTGGGCCATGTTATCTGCTACAGTCTCATATGTTATTCTTATATGATTTCCACTGGGTTCTTATGGGATTTCTATGGTATGTCTACCTTGTTAGTTTATACGCCTGTCCGTTGCGTTTGCAAACACTCTTCAAAGCAAATTATCAGGACGCATCAGGTAAGCATATGAGATATCCACAGAAACAAGAAAAATAGCAAGAAACAAGAACAAGAACAGAACACAAATGTAAGAAGCTCCACGACAAGAAAATAATATATCTGGGTTTGCTCTATAGGCCGTCTTGGGAGAGGTAAAGGGGGGGGTCAGCCCCCAAAAAAAAAAAACATGTTTTTTTTGTTTTTTTTTGTTTGTTTTCTGTGTGGCTCTTTCTTTCCTGTGAATTAGAAATATAATCAGAGTCAGGTGTTCCTCAAGTCTGCTTGTTAGTGAAACTACAGATTCATAAGCATGAATTCCGTAGACGTAACATTTTTCCTAACAAAGATTCATATGTAATCTGTCACGTCGTCTGTCCAGACATGTGGAAACGTGGGAACTGAGAAACGTGGGAACTGAGAAACGTGGGGACTGAGAGCGTCCCTTTCTGTTTTTGTCATGATGGCAACTATATAGTGATTGAATGTGATTGAACTATTAACCATGTATCAGTCATACAGTATAGTATAATAGTAACAGTAATCATGAGCTGTCACGAAAACATCATCTATACTACTCACTGACTCCTTGATGGTTTATGATGACTCATGATAACTTGCTAATGGTTTGGTGATGATTTGACGATGATTTCTGATGACTTATGGGTGTTTGTGATGATTTGGTGGTGATTTATGTGATTTATATTGATTTAAAATCATCGTGTGTATCCATCTTTTTTGGCCATCCAGAGATGCGTTACATCACCGATGCCAAGCACATCACCGTTGCATGGTGTGGGCATCACCCAGGGATGCCAAGTCCAGGGGGCTCCTGGTACTCCAAGGGCTTCTCTCCCATGATTTCGACGGTCTCCTGTCGTTTCTGTCTCCAGACATTGAAAAAGGATGAAAAATACCCAATTGAGCGATGAAAAATACTTGTATATCTTGTCCCATTATACTAGTTGGCCAATACTTCCAGTAGTACCGCACAAGGCAGTGGCGAAGGTTTAAAAAATAGGAAACCTATAGGAGAGGTTGGTTGTTGTGACTTACGGATGGCAGAGCGAATCCACTGATGGACTGAAAGGTGATTGATCTCTCTCACTCTCTCTCTCTTTTGCTTTCTTTCTCTCTCTTTCTCTCTCTTTCTCTGATTATCTACCTACCTACCGATCTATCTATCTATCAATCGATCCATCTATTCTATCAATCCATCTATCCATCTATCCATCTATCCATCTATCTATCTATCCATCTATCTATCCATCTATCTATCCATCTATCCATCTATCCATCTATCTATCTATCTAACTAATCTACTAATCTAATCTAATCTAATCTAATCTAATCTGTCTATCTATCTATCTATCGATCGATCGATCTATCTATCTAACTAATCTAATCTAATCAAATCTAATCTGTCTATCTATCTATCTATCGATCTATCTATCTACCTATCTAGCTAGCTAGCTAGCTATCTAGCTATCTATCTATCTATCTAACTAATCTAATCTAATCGAATCAAATCAAATCTGACTATCTATCTATCTAATTCTATCTAATTCTATCTAATTCTATCTAATTCTATCTATCTATTTATCTATCTATCTATCTATCTATCTCTCGGTCTGTCGGTCTGTCGGTCTGTCGGTCTGTCGGTCGGTCGGTCTGTCTGTCTATCTGCAAGCTTGAAAACCTTGCTATTCAACGAGACTTCCTCATTTTTCAAAGTTGACAACATCACAAACGAAGCACTTCTGCGAGACTTCTTCAATTTTTCAACTTGACAACATCAAAAACAACGCAATTCTGCGAGACTTCCTTCAAAAATGGAAAGTTGAGTGCAGAGCCAACAGCTTCGTACCAATGCGTCTTGCGATTCTTCCAGTCCACCTGTCGAATGTACTGCGCCTGCCACGAAAAAGTGATCCTCTTCAAATGTCCCACGCCTGCCATCGCTTTTGGAAATGCTACAAAACCCTCACGTTTTGCTCACTTTTGACAAGGTGCACAATCCCTTGCGCCTGCCACGCGACAGCACATCTGAACGTCCAAAAGTGGTCCGTACCCGTCAGTTTTTTGCGCTTTTGACTTCAAAATGTGCTTCGCGCCACAACGGCGTGCACTTTTTCGACATCTCAACTTCCAAAAGTTGTCCGGAGCTGGTGTGCTTTCTACAGTTTGACTTCAAGATGTGCTTCGTGCTACAACGGGGTGCACTTTTTCGACATCTCAACTTCCAAACGTGGTCCAGAGCTGGTGTGTTTTGTACATTTTGACTTCAAAATGTGCTTCGCGCCACAACGGCGTGCGCTTTTTCAACATCTCAACTTCCAAAAGTGGTCCGAGCATGGTGTGTTTTGTACATTTTGACTTGCAAATGTGCTTCGCGCCACAACGGCGTGCAATTTTTCATCTCTCATCTGGCCAGATGGCTCCGCACCCGCCGCTTTAGCGAGCCTACTTTTCGACCCTCCGGAGCCACAAATCATTGGAAAAACACAGTGTTTCGTGACTTTCCCACCTTTTCGCGCATCTGCACCTTCTTTCTTCTGACTCTTTCTCTTCTCTGATCTGCTCTCTTCTCTTCTCTTCTGCCTCTGCCCATCTCTGCTTTTCATCTGTCCATATTGTCGGAAGTTTGACTTCTAAACTTCCTTCGATTATATCCCTGTGGTGGGTTGCCACAATCAACCGATTATGTATACCTTATTATCCCATCCCCCTAATATCAAACACCCCACTCTCTGGTCCCAAATATGTGTAAATCCGAAAAAGACATGATTTCAGATGGGTGTTGAATATTGAGGGCCAGGGGGGAAGGGATTAATATAGAATAATCCCAAAAATTACTTGATCATCTCCCTGACAATCCCATCATTACTTTGAGGATCAGCCGTCATCTCCAATTAATCATCAATTACTCATTAATGTCAAGTCAGGATTCATCAACATCCCGTTATTAATCAACCTCCTCCTCCAAAAAAAATGCAATTAAAAAACAGGTGGTCCCCCCCCAGATTAATAAACACTTTGGCATACCCCCGATTAATAAACCACCACTGCTGAAATCTTATTCTTTTATCCAACATTTTTTATTTCCAATTCTTTTTATCTCATCAATGTCAGAACTCATCATTGTTATACTTAAGGCTTAAGTTGATCATTGAAAATTTCAAAAAACAACTATTCCCCAAATGATCGATTTCAAATTAAATTCTTTATAAAAATCATCAGTTTGGATAGCTCCCAAAGGGTACCTCCCATGAGCCCATGTCCCCCATTAATAAAGCCACCAGGGTTTGCCCCTTATTAATCAACCCCCTTCTGATCCAGGAATCCATGAGATTTTAACAATCAAATCTTATCAAATCCAATGGAATTCTATGAAGATCTAATTGACGTAAGCCATATCCAAAGTTTTATGGTTTAGAAGGTGCTTATTATTAAGGGGTGCATCACAAGGTCTACCTAGACCTATAGGGGGGGGTTATTAATCCGGTGTTGACATTAATCAATAAATCATAACAAATCCATAAGTGATAAGCCATAATCAATCGAATCAATTACTCAACCAACATAATCCATATTTGATGTTTTATAAACCTCCATCATAACCAATCAACAAAAATATTTTGAATGGCTCAATTGCGGCCGCTCGTCTTCCTCGGTAGGACTGCGCACCGAGAGCCAGTTAGGGACCTCGGGAGTTCCCACCTGCAACGCAGCGGAGTCCATGGGGATATAAACCCGTGTACTGTAAATAAATCTGCTCATATGGTAATTAATATATGGTAATATATATATATATATTACACATAATTAATCTATAATCTAAGTATAGTTATATGTTATGTCCCGTCACATCACATTGTATTTCACGTTTCACATCATATTATATTGTGACATTAACTATGTTTGAACATTCTTGAAATAGATTGTGAAATGCTGATCTTTAAGACAACATCATCCGTACATGATGGTTGGTTGACAGTTGATAGTTGATCGCCTGAACAACGCTTGGGAGCAACAGTTATCTAAAGGTCGTTCTGCTGAGCTGAAGAACATTAGCATTCAAATTCAACATGAGATAAATGGATCATATTCATGGACTGTTTGAGAGTAACATGGATGTTAAGATATCCTGTCATTCAGTTTTATGGGGTTATATGGTTGAATGTTCAACCCAATTCCAGCTCATTTGGATCGGTGCCATGTTGCTAATGGAAACACTCTGATGTCATCCACATCATCCAAATCATCCACACCATCCACGTTTTTTTTCCACTATTTCGCAACCATGGTGGCAAAGGGCAACACCGTCTTTCTTGACACGTCGCCTTTCAGGCTGTAGACATTCAGGGGCTGCAGTTCCTTCAATTCCTCCATTTGGAAGCCATCCTTTACCAGTCCCTGGGTCTGATACAGCGGGTTTTCCCTCAGCTCCTCCGGCAAGTTGCCAGGCGTTCCGAACATCTGCTGCACGATGTCGCTACACAACGCTGCAGCAGAGGCATCTGCGGAATCCAGGGGAATAAAGGCTAATGCGCGACGTTTGCCCATGGATTTGTCCTTATTGAAGAGAAGAATCACCACGTCATAGCCTCTCAAGTTGCAGTGGATGGTTGGTAGGGATACCCTGGCAATTGCTAAATAATGCATAAACACGGCAGGCAAGCCTGTCCCAATCCTAGACCATGATCACTGGGGCCACTTCCACACAATTTCATTTTTCGGTAGATAGAATCCATGATTTTTTGTTGCTTAAGTCACCATTTGCCGCGGCAAAAACTAGAAAAAAAGGATACCTTATCTATCTAGACTGTTTTCCAAGAATCCACGGATTATCTTCAAAATTAACCATCATTTTGCTCCGGAAATTCTCGCTTCGTTTAAAAACACAAACAATCACATATGCACGTGTATATATTATACATGTATATAATAATATATATATATATATTATATTATAACATCGTTCTTAAAAAATAAGCGTAACATACTTCCCCCATCCATGTCACAAAAAATCACGGGCCTCGATCCTCGGACAGGACCCTGGCGACCTTCGTCACCTCCTCAGCACCACCTGCCTGATGTACCATCTCCGTGGCAGTGCGGAAGATGCTGCAGACCGCCACACGCAAGGCGCGCAAGGTCACCACCTCTCGGAGCGTTTTTTTTTCATGGGCCAATGGGGAAATCAAAAACGGCCTTCCCCAGGTTTCTTTCAAGGGATGTAACTACTAAGGACTTTGAAGGTTTGTGACTTCAAGATATACCCGAAACTTAAATGGTTCTTGTGGAAACAAGTGAGGTCATCATGGCAATCCCTATGGACCAGCAAGATGAGCCATTCAAGTTTCGACCATGCTACATATAAAATGTTGTAAACTACAATGAATTTAACCAGCAAAAACGCACAAGATAGGGATTTGAAACACACGTATATATATATATATATATATATATATATATATAAATTATATATTACGTATATATCCTATTATACAATATAGATTGTGAGTCAAAATGCGAGAATGAGGGAATAGCTTCTGACACATATGGACACATGACCAACCAGAATTTGGGAATGAACCACCAAAAAGGGAAGCCTCATCAATAGAACTGAGGAGAGAAGCAGTCAGGATGCAATCAACCCGACATACAATACACAAATAAAATGTCGAAACATGGAAATTGCAATTCTTCACAAATGCCACAAAAATCACACACCCAGATATTCATACATGAAGGTTTCCTATATGAAGGTTTCCTAAGATGGAGATACCCCAAATCATCCGAAATTGGACCATTGTAGTATTGAACCAATGTTTTTGGAGATCCCCCATTCTGTGAAATATCCAAAGAACGGGATATCAGAACCCACAGGCCATATGCTGGCTTTATATATATATATTTCATTATATCATATTATATCCCACTGATCCCCCATGATATCTCAATTTTTCATGGTTGTTACACAAAAAAAACACCATAACTTTATCGAATCCCATTAAACCCAATAAATCCCATAAATATCCATAAATAACGATAGATCCCCATGAAATTTGATTCTGGTTCGAGTTCGATCCCCTGTATCCTCGCCTTCATGTCCAACAACATCAGATCCCGAACACTCAAGTGAGCTACATCCTGAGGATCTTGAAGGTGCTGGGTCTGGTGAGTCTATTTTTTTAAAAGGGATTTTTGCATCTGCCGGAGACTTTCTTGAGCATTGCCAGCATTGCCATATTTGATTACCTGGTAAAACTTAGAGGTCAAACTACATGTAAAAAACATTCGAATTTTTTGGGGGACCCAGGTCCTCCAGGGCATGTCCCCTCTCGAGTTGAAACACACTCTTTAAGTCTTTGCATCTCTTTGCTTCTTAGGTTCAAACATCATTCAAAAAAATGAGTTCTAAAGTTCTAAATAGTTCTAACTTTTCCAACATGTTCACGATCACCAGGGATCTTTCCTCGCTTCCATGAGCTCTTTGTACCATGGACCTTCCTTCTTCGGCGGCACTTCCAGGGTGGTCTTCAGATGCTTCAGGGCTGCGACGTCCCGGGCCGTGCCTTTCTTTGCGTCCTTGTCGAAGTTGCGACAGTCCAGCAGAATGGCCTGGGCCCAGGGCGAGCTGTGGAAAAGACCAGCTGTACTGTTACGGTTAAAATCATGGTGCTATATGCATTGGGTAACTTTTCTGATTAATGACTGTGACTGGATCCCTGGTAAAATTGCAGCAAATGAAAGGATGCTGATTAGTGTTAAACTTCGCAACTTGGACAATGTGGGTAGCTTATCGTGGTAGAGAAAGTCTCGCAGCTTTTTCGAACCCCAAGATCAAACAATGATGGTAATTATATGCAGGGATATGCAGGGTATCTGGGGTCTGGCATCATGATCCTGCGAAACGGTCTTTTCTGCAGCATCAAGTGCATTTGCTTTTTATTTTGCTGAAAACCTTGGAACATCATGTTCACCATTGACCTTAGGTACCTTTGGGGAATTCCCTGGATATTGTAGAGTTTCCAACAGTACTTTCGCGCAAAACCATGGTGGCTGGCTGTTCAGACCTACTGTACCTTGCCAGCGAAAATGGAGGTTTCCTGAAATGGAAGTATCCCAAATCATCTTTTTATAGATGGGATTTTCCATCAAAAAACAATCCAGCTATTGGGGTACCCCTCATTTCAGGACAGCGCCGAGTTGCGCCCGCCATAAGCACACCCAGTTCCTTACTCAATTTGGAGTCGTCCTCAGTGGCGTATCGTGGCGTGAACATCGATGGTGGAGAGCCCAAAACACGGCCATTTCTTGCGCAAAAACGTGGAAGTGATGAGAAACTATGGGATTTACTGATGAATTTAGGATTTAGGGGTACCATCTCTTGCCGTTTCAGTATTTTTCTAGCCATTTCAGGGGTCGACACCAGGGCGTCATGGCGATGCGGATGATTGCGAAGAAAAGCATGCGAAGACACGTCTTAAGTTAATTGTAAATTACTGTATCTCATTTATCAGCAATATAGTTATAAAATCTTATAAAGTATAACTTAAGTTATTTATATACACATGATCAATTAGAACCATGAGTTACCTCAATAAACCAAAGTTCAACATGTTAATGTTCTGCCCATTTGAAGCTGTTGAGGGATTCCCCTCGCGACGAGGGGCGCTCACTGCCGCGAAGCGCTCCACCACCAGGGAACAGCAGGAGCCCAGGCTCTCGTCGATGACGTTGCTGGCATCGGGATATGCAATACCACCTGAGCTGACAGCTGAAAGGGGTCCCACAATTGGTGGGAAAATTAGCGAGAAACCTTGAATTCTACCATTGATTTATCCAATATTCACATGGTGTCATGGTGTCAAGCGTAAATCGTCAGCCTTTCCACCGCAGTTCATCTATCAACCCACCAAACCCGTAAAATGCTCATTGATATAGTCCTCTGATCTGTCCTGAAACGTTGCGCTGTAAAAATGTTCAGAGAACTTTCACTGTTATTTATTTAGTTAAACGTTGGTTTCTGGAAAAAAAATGCATCCAACCGAAATCACCTTCCCCCACCTGCATGATGATCCAAGACGTGCGTAACAAGTTTGCCGTCGAAGTGTGCCGCGACTTGCTCCGTCATCTTGTTGTGGTCCACCAGCGCCAGTGAACGTTGCTCCAATTGATCCACTTGCTCCCATGGCACTTCATCCCAAAACGTCATGGCCACGGGACTTCCATCAGCCATCACCTACCATGTTCTACCATGGGACGCCGGACAGGCACTTGGGAGTTGGATACCTCTGAATACCATGGATATTTATGGCATGTAAATCTCAAGTCAGCACTGCCAGCGGTGGCTTTCATCTCCAACTCTTGGAGTGTACATCTTTTCACGATTCAAAGGGCCGGCAATGTTCAGATCACATTAAAATAGATACAAAGGGATCGAATACAGATTTCAATAACATTTCCAAACATAGACAAAACAGATCTCTACAGTAGATTTACACAGAAATCATAGATTGTTCGCGCATGGTAGTGGGAAACTCTACAGGACAATTCAAACATGTCTAGAAGCATCACTGGCATCCAACAGATATTGGAATAGTTTTGACTACCCACAAGGATACCCTCTGGTAAACTAACATAACTATGCAATATCACCATGTTTAATGGGTAAATCAACTATAAATGATAATTTTCAATAGCTTTGTGTATGTTTACCAGAGGGTAAATCATTGTTTGATTTGTTTGAAGCCTATCGATATGATATACGTTGCTACGAAACCAACAGCACTGGTCTCATGGCCAATAGACATGTGTCACCCACAAGAAAAATAATATAAACGACATTGTCTGCATATTATATGATCTGATATCTGATATCTATAATTCTATAATGTATTATACAGTTTCTCCAATGTTCAAAATCACCCACTGGAAAATGATCGCCAGTTTTACTGGTTCTACAGCCGTCATATCGCCATGTTTTGGAATATCTTTGGTTCATTCATCAAATCTCCAGATTTCAACACTAGTGCCTGGCTGCCGGCGTCGCGAAAAAGCGCCACCGCATCACCTGCGTATCTTTACCAACAACAACAACAACAACAACAACAACAACAACAACAAAAACAAGAACAAGAACAAGAACAAAAACAAGAACAAGAACAAGAACAACAACAAGAACAACAACAACAAACAACAAAAAACAAACAACAAACAACAACAACAAACAACAACAAACAACAACAACAACAAACAACAACAACAACCAACAACAACCAACAACAACCAACAACAACCAACAACAACCAACAACAACCAACAACAACAAACAACAACCAACAACAACCAACAACAACCAACAACAACCAACAACAACCAACAACAACCAACAACAACCAACAATAACAACAACAACCAACAACAACCAACAACAACCAACAACAACCAACAACAACCAACAACAACCAACAACAACCAACAACAACAACAACAACAACCAACAACAACCAACAACCACAACAACAACAACAACACCAACACCAACACCAACACCAACACCAACACATGCTGGCTTCATGATGTGTGTTCATTGTGTTAACTGTTAAAACATCAATTTCTTGTGTTTTTTTAATGCTTTTTTGGTGTTTTCCTTGAATCCACATCAAACATCGACCTTCTTGGCATCCTGGATGCTCTGTTCATCGTTGGCTCTGCAAGTATGGGCCAATAACAGTTATAGTTAACTGGTTCTGTCATGGTGGTTACAACATGTTACAAATCACATGGAGGTTTCCTGGTGTATAATGGAACATCATATAAAAATGAATGATTTCGGGGTACCTATTTTAGGAAACCTACACATGAATTCACGTACTAATGACTAACTCCATCCTATGTACTCAGTACTCCCCCAACGCACCCCGTGCCTCGCAGTCGAAACTCCTCGCGCGGGATTTGCGCAAGGGCAATCGCCTGCGTCTCAGAGCTGTTGAGCAACTGAGCCATGGCATAGGCAGAGACCAGGGAGTCGACGTCCGCGGCTTCGTTTCCAACAACGAAGACCTGCCACAGGATGGGGCTTTCAAAGGAGAAGGACCAGCCCAAAAATCCAGATTCCAGCAGTATCCAATGTTGGTTTGGGTATGTTTGGTCTTTAGGAAAACATGCTAAATTCGTCCTCGCTTGGGTTTGGGGAGGTGCTTAGGGCCCACCACTTTACAGTTGTAAAACTGAAAAGTAACATTTTGGCCGCCTCTGTAAAATGCGTTGTCCAACGTAAAATCAATATAATATATATAAATCTAAATTGGGCCTTCCCATTTTTTTGGCGAACCTCATAGATACCCTTACCCCTTCAGCAACTTCAAATTGGGGGTGTCATCTTCCTCCGTGCTTCAAACCATAAACCATTTTCTTCCAACTGGTTTTTGCCCGTTCCACCTGTGGTCTACCATCAAATGGGGCAGCCATCCAATGCTCTCGGCTTGTCACCGAGCTGAATCTGCGAACGCCCAGGCCAGCTAGGAAAATCAGAGCGCCGATGCTGGCCGAAGGGCTGCAACTTCGTCGAAGGCGGCGCTGCAAAGCCGTGGCAGGCGCAGGGGTGGCAAGGCGCATGCTCGAACCAAACAGCTGCAACGAGTGGAACGTGCTTGATTGGTTGATTGATGTTGATTGGTTGGTTGGCTGAGTGGTTGGTTGGTTGAAACATGTGAAACCATGATCTCACTTTCAAAGACTTTCAGTTGATCTTCCCTGCAATCCCATTGTCCCATGCGTTGATGGAACAATGAAAACAAGTTCCGAAGTTCCACCCAGTTGTCTGTTTCAAATCAGGACAAAAACCAAAAAAAAACTAGCTGACTGTTGATGGACGAAGCAAACATGCAAAGGGTGACTGTTTACCAGTAAAAGCTGCACTTATGGGACTTTGAAACCACATTTCGTCATATTTCGTCCCTCAAATGCACTGGAGCTGGCTTTTCAACATGATGAAACATCAGTTGTGTCAATGGCAAGTGGAGCAAAAATCACCCCAAAAAAAACTTGGTTCCTGACTTCTTTGAGCTGTACAATACTATAGAACACTCATGCAGTCGTAGAGCGAGGTAAGGTTCACACTACTCATTACTAGGCCCTGTGCTGTCTCTCACGGATTTCAACCCACAACTACTGTACCCAGCTTGAGACTTCCCTGGCTTGGGAAATCTTGGGAAGACGAAACAATATTCAACAAAAAACATCAAATGACCATACCAAGCAGTTTAAGCTGCATCTCACAGTATCTCCTGCAGGGCATTGAGTGGATCCTAGCCTTCAGCGCATCTTCACCAACAGCCACCAGCCTCACACGAATGCGATATCATCGGGGATCCAGCTTGTGGGGTGATGCATGGTGAAACAGCACCAGGGGGGGATTGGTTTATCTATAGTTTTATGATGTTTTATGTAGCTAGGTTCAGTCAGAATCTGCATCATCCACGTCTTTTTGAACATAGGGTGGAAGAGTCTTTACCTGTGGGGGGTTGAGGCGGGCAAGGTTCTTTGGCTTGGCGAATCAGCACATCTTTGGCAAATAGCCTTACAATACATCCAGAAATATCCAGAAAAGGTTCTCAACCAAAGCTGTTCATGAATTGCCATGTAAGTGTGCAAATCACGAACCAATTTAGGTGAAATCTACTTGATTTGACCCTATTCTAAACGATGGAAGCGGGAAGTTGATTGATGAAACCAGCTTCTGAGTGTGGCTGTTTCATCATGGTGATTCTGGGAAATCTCAACCATCATATGGGATGCCAACCTTCTTTGGGAATGCCCTCCCTTTTGGGGGTGTCGTACTTTGATGCTGGAGAATTCCTGGGGCCTCAACCCACTCTGATTCTTGGTTGTTCATAAGCCCTATCCATAAAAGCCACAAACGATCGGGAGGCTTACCTTTGCTAGGGTTTGGTTAACATATGGGGATCTGTCAAAACCTATTATATATTGCATATGATTGCCATATGTGGGGAAAAAAATACAATCTAGTTATTTAACATAGCCATGGAAAATCACCAGTTTTAATAGGTAAACCATCTATAAATGGGCCATCTATACCATGGCAATGTTAAATAACCAGAGGGTACATCCATTCAACAGCTATGACGACCAAAACAACCACGTCATTGCCTTGGCCTAAAGGCCATCCACCCTGACCAGGCCAACTGACAGCTCTCCGCTGGGCAGCTCCTCCAAAAGTTCTGCGCTCGCATCCGCCTGACCACTGCAACTGGTGAGATGGGCTGGGTGCCGAGGATGCCGAGGATGGAGGTGAGGTAAACCCAATGACAACATATTGGGTAAACCCAATCTGGCAATCTGGGTAAATTATCATATTTCACTAACCTGAATTAATCAAGGCCATATGGGGATGATTCCTCTTACTAACCATGATCCCAGTGAGGGAGAACAGTGAGGTCGTTATAATTTACCCAGATGAATGCACGTATTATATTATTATATACCTCCAAAATCAGATTATAAGAAATAAAAATGACATTTATGGGAGACTTAGATCCCGACTTCAAGCTGAGTTCTTCCGGCAATCTATCGTATCAATAGAATGCTGAGCAAGATGAAATCGGACAATGATAGGATGATTTGGAGACAATTATTCAATGGATTGGTTTAAGGGAAAATCTACAGGAAACCATGGTTTTTACCATCAAATATAGGGTTTTCCTGTAAATTTTCCCATCATCCAATTCTATGAATTATGGGAATAATGTGGGATTCACTATGATAAACCATTCCCCATCGGGGTTTGATAGTATGGGTTGGTTTGAGGGATTGTCTATTTTGCTTTTTCATCATGCGCAGCAATTTTAATTGGCGGAGAAGAAACCAAACGTCTTTCTAAGGCGGTGAATGTTCCAATCTCTCCCATTTTTCCATGCAATGGCCGACCACCCCCAATGGAATCAATGGATCAGCGGAGGACTCTTCGACTTTTCGCAGCAAAACCGGAACAAGAGCTACAGCATGCTGCACGCTACGGTCATGACGAACCTTGCATCATGAGCCGCGAAGCTACAGCACCAAGCAAGAGCCAAAGGTTGACAGCTAGTGCTCCGTGCTGGAATGGAACAAACACTTACCCGGCCTGGTAAACATACAAAAAACTATGGAAAATCATCATTTTTAATGGGGAAATCCACTATAAATGGTCATTTTCAATAGCTATGTTAGTTTACCAGAGGGTACTGTTTGTTCAAAAATTGGTGACACCTCAATTTGTTGAACTGATATGAACTGATTCAACTATTTTCGAAAAAAATGTCATGAATTCTCCGTTCGAATTGGGGGGACCACATGGCATCAATGTTCCAACCCGGTAGACCCATTGGTTTTCTCTGGTTTTCCTCAAATTCTCGGGTCATTTTTGTTTTGATCAGCATGGCTGGAGACTTTGCCAGCTTCAAGCTGTCAGTTCCACATCAGCCAGGATGGGGTAGTGATCTGATTCGCCTGCCGATGGGGCCCATCAAGCACATGGAAAAAACATCGCCGGGAAAAACATTAATCATATCATAATATAGTAATTGTAATTATGTAATTGTACTGACTATATAATATTATTAATGTATATATACTATAGTACTTGTATATATATAATATATAATTGTACTATATAATTGTATACAGTACTATAAAGGTCCGGCCATTGAATATCCTTTACCAAAAAATGACACCGAAACGAAGGCGTGCTGAACATCCCGTTGACAGTCAGCCATGTTGCTATGGACTCTGAGATTCTCACAGCAAAACAGGATCAGTTGCCTTACCCTCTGGTAAACGTTTACATAACTATGGAAAATCACCATTTTTAATGGCTAAATCAACTATTTCTATGGCCATTTTCTATAGCTATGTCTGTTTACCAGAGGGTACAACCTTTACGTGCCGGGAATGAACCAAAAGCATGGCAACCCAAAAAAACCACCTGGCGCTTGTCGCCAAATCCACGAGCGCATGGTGTGAAAACCTGCCGTGTTGCGAACCCAAATCAGCTGGGCCAAACGAACACGAAAATCAAAAAGGTTTGAAGTCGACTGAAAAATGGAATGCCTCGTTCCATGATATCATTTGAAGAGATGTTCAAAGCCTCATTTTCCCATATTGTCTCCATTGGAATGGAAATTTTATGGCATAATTAATTCCCCTGTGTATTCAGACACACCCAGAAGATCATAAGTACCCCTTTCACCTCAGCGCAATGCTGATGATTTGTGGATGGATAATTTTTCATTCATTGGCTAACCAGTTTTTTTTCTGGACAAAGACACGTTCCAAAAACCAGAGAGTGACGATGTTAGGTGCTGGATCTTCAAAAAATGCAGATGATGTCCATGAGTCTGAGTCTTGGCTGCCCGAAGCCAACAACGAAACAATTGCCTATGCAATATTGAGCTTATTGAGTTGATGACATTACTTGGTAGCAGATCCTTCCTAGATCAATAGTCACGGGGGTACCAAAAAAATAGCTGGTTGGCTGTTTTGATGGAAAATCCCATCTATAAATGGATGAGAACTGGGGGTACCTCCATTTTAGGAAACCTACATATGTTACTGTTACTTGAAACAGCCAACCTATCGCCCCTTGACATAGGATGTATCCCCATCTGACGAACTCCCCAATGGTTGCTGCGGCCTTGAGCAATGGGATTCGTTCTGCGCTCGTCTCCCCTGCGGCACGCGCAAAATCGTCGTTTTGAAGGAGAACTAGTCTGCAATTTCAGGGGAAGTTTGCTCAAATCTAGTAGCAATGTTCATTGCTGTATGATATCCATAGTCGCCGTGGTTCCTGCCGTTTTGGTGGATCTTATATATCGCCACAGTCCATATAACCATTCAAGTTCCTTCAGACCCGGATTCTTTGGTCTTTGGTCATCAACATGAACTGTATCGGATCACTGAAATATGTCTGATTCTGTCTATGGAGTCTGATACCGAGATACTAGCCACTAGCTCAAACCTGTCAGAGCCAAGGTTTCATGTGGTTTCATGATATCCAATATAATATAGTAATATATTATATATTACTATGTGAATACGTCTATTCCCTGTACATGAAGTATCTAAACGAAATCTTTCTACTGGAGCGGAATCTTGTCACGATTCCCAACTCCACCAACTCCCTCCGAACCCGGACTGACCAGCGGACAGCGGACCTCTCCAAGAAAATGTAGTCCAAGCGAGCACCGCTGCTATGAGTGGTCGCATCCACATATTGTGCGTTGGCGTCTCTGAAGGAATCCTTGAATTTGAAGCGAAGCCTTGGCCAGCCATCACTCAAGGAGGGTGGGTTCATCGAAAAACCACGGCCAACTGGATAGAACATGATTTTTGACAGGATTCCGCACCGAAAGACATCCGGTATCATCCGGTCCATGATTCGCCATTTTTTTAAAGCACCAACACAGAAGTTCGTTCGTTACTTCATGGATCTTCATGGTCTTTCTCAAGCGAGGTGCTTAAACTCCTGGCCCTTGTCATGAACCACTTCTCCCAAGTAGAGTTTCGTGGATTTCCAATCCTCCAAGGCATTGAAATCGCCCATGATGATGATCGGCGTATTGGGATGCTCCTGCTGGATCCAGATTCTCAGATGGTCGATATCTTAAAGATACCCGATCTCGATATCGATATCACCACGGGCACGAAACAAGGGGATGCCATCAGCTTCAGGGACTGCCATCAGCTGCAAGACAAATGGGGACCTAAACCCTTTATATATCTTTATTTCCTTTATCCTGTAGAGTTTCGTGCCTTTTTTCATTTACCTTTTCGTTGATAGGTAGTGACAACAAAAACTCGAGACCAACCAGTTGTAGGGCAAGCATCACACCACTTTCGTTGCAGGATTGTGAGTGACATCCACAGCAGGTTTCCACACCAAAACTGGCTCCCTGTCCTCCACTTTCTTCTTGGCATGTTTGGAGAAATCAATGGCATTCCTCGCTGCGATACGATCTCAATGATCTCCATGATCTACCCCCCAAAAAGAACATCGGTCAGCTGAATTCTGCTTGGGTCACCAGGAAGAAAAGTGGTTCCTCATCATTTCAAGAGCCAGAATTTAGACATAGTCTCCCCCGTCCATTCTTGTTGGTGAAGTACTATTATTCATAGTTAAATCATGTTAAATCACCATGTTTGATGGTAACATCAACATATTTGATAGTTAAATCACGATGTTGTTTGGTAAAATCAACACTTTTGATGGTAAAAAACACAATTTTCTGATGGTAAAAACATCATTGTTGCTGGTAAAATCACGATTCTTCATGGTCAAATCCCAGCTTCTGCAGATGGATCTTCTCATTTCCGCAACAAACAGGATGAGCTCCGTAGACCAAGACCTTTTGGTTGGAGGAGATGTGGCGCAGCACCGCCCAGCTGAGTCCTGACATTCTGATCCCCCGATGGCTGGTTGGTGGAAAATCCCATTGAGTCCTGGATGATTTGGGGGGTACCCCCATGTCAGAAAACCGACCCAAAATAAGGACAAATAAAAGGTTGTCCCATCAATAATCCAAGGGAACGCAGTGGATAACAATATTGATTATCCCGTATATATATCTATATATATTATCCAATATATCAATACTCCCATCAATACCTATTGAACATTAGGAATCAACGCTAGTTATTGGAAACGTTGGACACTTAATATTTGTACTTGATCATCAATACCATCAATATTGAGTCGAATATGTATTGAATATTTATTGTACTGTACATATTATCATTATGCCTTATATCTTTATGTTGTTCAGTCCTTTTCTGATAGGCGGACAAAATTACTTACTACTCGCAATGGACATGGCGAAAGTGGGTGGTCTTCTATCGGTTGTGACAGTTTGTACTTCCATGCTATGTGTAAGCATAGGGTATCGGTAAGTGGGTGGTCCCCTATCGGTTGTGAAGGTTTTCACACAAATTTGAAAATCGCAAGTCCACTCCCTACTACTTTAGTCTTCTACTAATTTTGTCGGTTAGTCTAAGTGTGGATATTGATTCACGTTGAAGCGTGGGTTTTGCTGTTTAACACGTTGATTTACGACTCAAAACGGGGATTTCTATGCCAACTTGGCGGACGTCCATAATTTGGACAGGAAACACCATCTACAACATTTTCATTGACATTTTAGATCATGAAAATTATACAACATATACAGTATCCCAAGACGCATTCAATTTTGAGTTTGAGGTTGTAAAACCCAGTAACCGCAGGTGTATGTTTTGCTGAGTTCAAACTCCATTTAACGACACCCAGGTAGAAAATGAAGATACACCTTAAATCTATCCATATCTATATCCTTAAATCATCTTAAATCTATGTTCCATATGCTTTCTGAGACTCCCTTAAATGTGACACGCACGGATCATCCATGATCATCCCATGACGATGTTTGCCGTAAAATCAGGCAGGCGAGCCAGAAATGTCTACATATGTCTACATTCTACATATCACCAGTTTGCTTAAAAGCACATATCATTGCTCCCAAGGTGTGAATGATATTGAATGATGATGTTTGATGACCTACAATTTCAGATCTAGTTCTTCAACAGGGATTTCCCTGATGTCCATTTTACATTATTGCAAATCACTGTGCTTCACATCTGCTCCACCCGATCCCCGAGGCTCCTCTGTTAGAACCCCAGTCCATCACGGAATCTTCCTCCAGTTCAAACAAATCGGCTCGGTAGAGGATATCCCCATCCCACCATTTTTCTTGTTGACCTCCCCTGCAGAACTCATAGTGTCCTAGCGTCGGGCCACTAGACTGGATCGTCTTAGCCGCATCAACAAGTGATGGTCACCATCAGCACGATGTTAAAATGCTTGTCAAATTATGTCAAATTATGTCAAATTCCTCAGTCTGTTGAAGCTGTTGGAATAAGAATAAATAGGGGCGTCCTAAAATGGGGGTACCCCCCAATTCAGCCATTTTAATTGGATTTTCCATTGTAAACCATTCATTCTGGGGTACCCATTTCGAGGTATCAAAAGCTTCTGGACGACCCAATGAGTTGGAAAAACACCAGGTGCAGCCCCCGTCCCCAACAACCCCAACAGGATTCCCAATATGAAACAATCCTGGGTGGGTTAAACGGTGGATTTGGGTTTCCCGTTTACATCGTTTACCAAGTCATCCAAGTCTCTTGAAGTTTTCTGCCGAATCTTCTCCAAAATCTGCCTGGTTTCAACCCCACGGTTTCCAAAAAACCGAATGGCTGGGTTGGTTCCTGGCTGCATCCCCATCATCCCCGAGATCTAGCTGGTAATTCGAACTAAGTGGATTCCGAAAAAAAAACAACACATACGTATCATACGTATGCTTTCCAGGGCATGAACTGCTCTTGGATATTATGATATGCTTTTTACATACTTTTACATCGAATCCACGCTATCCACGCTGTTGGCAAAATCAGATGAAACCCGGAAAATCCACAGTGTTTGGCTCCACAGTTCGTTGGCGTTGAAACACCTGGTTTTCGAGTGAATCGCCCGAGGTTTCTTTGGAGTCTCCTTCTTCCTCCATCGATGCATGATTTTAGGTTTTGACTCGAAAATGACCTGAAATGTTGGCACCCTTCAACATCAACATCATTCACAGCTCATTCCATCATGCTCCAAAAATATGGCGCACATAATCTTTAATCATCTGAAATCATCTTCAAATCTCGGTTTTTTCCCACAGTTTACCCAATTTCTACGGCTTTTTCCCAGGTCCCCACAGCCCCAGCCCGGCCCCACGGCCCCACGGCACCGTTGTTCGCTCCACTGCTCGGTGATCACCGCGATGTCCGGCGTCATCTCAGCCACCGCCGAGGCAATGCCCTCCATGCGCGAGGCGGAGCCCAGCTGGGCATAGTAGACCTGCGAGTTTTCACATACCCTCTGGTAATTTAACATGGCCATGGAAAATGGCCCATTTATAGATGATTTTCCCATTAATACCTCCATTTATAAGGGATTTAACACCTTACCCTCTGGTTATTTAACATAGCTATTGAACATAGTCATGGAGTATATAAATACATACATTTTATATTAGAGTCATGGAGTATATAAATACATACATTTTATATTAGAACTATTATTGGTGTTATTGTCGTTGCTATGAACCTTATTGTTATTACGCTATGCGATTTGTATTGTATGTCTATATATACGTATACACACACTGGCACAGCATATAGCGTTGTACGTTATTGATTCTTCATTACTATGATTATGGATATATTGAGCGAAGATAAACACTATGATTATGTACAAATGTAATGTTTATTTCCTGGTAATCATTATTGCTATCATTTTCCGTTGTTGTTTGTATTAATATGATATTATTACATCGGATTACACTATTCTATTGTCACATCACATTAAGTATCATCATCGTCTAGTATGTCATATATGAATATATGACTATGATATTATTATCAGAATTACTGAGTATGTATATAATATTATATAATATAAGACCGAGCACACACAATAACTCTGGGACATATACATGTATATATGAGTATGGTTGTAGTTGTTGCCGTTGAAAGAACTTGCGGTTAACACTTGCAAAAACCTAGGATATGATATTGGGAAAATAGATGGACACTAGTGGATATCATTTCCCAACCAACAATGCGAAACATATGGAAACATCTATTGGGGAATGATGTTCGCCAATTCCAATAAATGTGGAAAACACATGAATAATAAGCCAAGGATTGATAAGGATACAGGATACACTTGAAAATTGTTAAAACATGCTAAACAAAAAAGGAAACATGAAAGGAAAGCGAGGTCTTATCGTGAGATGGTGAAAGTGGGGAAATCTGGCTGGTGGAGGATGCTAAACATTGAAAACAAAAATGAACATAGATGAACAACCCAGCAAGAAATAGGGGTAGATATGCACATGGCTGGCACATGGATGAATATATTCTGGTTGGTGGTTTTAACCATCTTGAAAAATACGAGTCAATGGGAAGGATTATCCCATATATTTTGGAAAAAAACATGTTCCAAACCACCAACCAGTACAGTATTTGTATGTATTTGTGGGTTGATCCCGTTGATCCCCATTTTTGATCCCCATCTTCCCTGCACGCCCAAGCACGTTGAACGCCATTAGCCGGGCACACGTGGATCCCGCCGGGCAGTCGGCTGCAATGACGGATGGCGCGGCTGGGGGTGGTGGAGTCGGTTCTGGCGTGGTGGTCGTGGTGGTGGTGGTGCGCCAACGTGGTCGCAAGGTGACTCTGACTGTGGCATCTCTTGGATGATCACTAGCAAAACTTTATAAAACTATCATGTGGTAAGATTAACTCTGATAGTTAAATCTCATGGATCATTTACGATCTTTTTTGGTACCTCTTCATAATTAACTTTTTGGAAACATGATGAAACATGATAAACCACATGATAAAACTATAGCGGTTGTATGTAGTCATTTCCTTTGACAAAAAGACCACGTCATAGCCTAATCAATGTAAGCTGGGCTTTCTTTTCCCACAGGCAGGCGACTAGCTCTCATCGGAATCATCAACCCACATATTTATGTAGATTCATTAGTCATCATTAGTCGCTCACTTTGAGAATGTTAGGATAGTCTAAAACTCTTCATGCAATGGGTTCTAGGTGTTCTTGCCATGTAAAATCCTATCTTTGCTTCTTAGTCTCTGATTTCTCTGTAAAATCGACTCCAAGGCACCTTCAGGTGGTGTCGGCGCACAATATTTGAAGGCCCAAAGTGGTTTGTTGAAGCCATCAGAACGGCATCCAGGGACAATGCCATCCCAACCCACAAATTTGGGTTTGATGCACTGCAAGTCACCCTCGCAATCCTCATCACTGTCGCAGCTTCCCTGACATGCCGACAGAGGTTTCCCATTGCCATTTTGCCCTGGGGAGTTGTCAAAGACCGGCAAAGGCTCGTCATCGCCATCGTCGTCATCGTCGTCGCCCTCGGTTTGGGCCTCAAGGTGGTCATCTGTCAGAAGCACCGACTTTTTGTAGATCCTCCTCTGCAACAGCTGCCCTCCAACAGTCTCTTTGGTGAAGGTCTCACAACTTCCACAGGCACACGCGGTATAAATGGAACAGCCTAGGGTGACCACCCTCAACAAGGCCATCATGGCTGTCACCAACCCCATGGAAGGCTGCTGAAATCGGTTCGGTCTGAACAGAAAAGGCGGAGAGCGCGGAGGTCTCTGCTGTTTACATCTGTGAAATGCTGCAATGTTGACATGTTTCATCATGTTTCATCTCTATTTCGATGAATGATATGATTCCAAGAAAAAACAGAAGGGGAGAGGAGACATGCAAAAGAACATCCGCTGCACAAAAGGCTTTGGTTATCTCACCTCTCCAACACGTATTTTTGGAGGACGTCTTTCCAACTGAATGATAGTAACTTTTGCCAACAAAAAGATGGATGATCGAAAAATCCAACTTATTTTTGAACTAATCTATAGGTCTAACTTACCTTTCGACCCTTTTGGGGAGTTGCTAGTACTATTCCTGGCAAATTTTCGGCTTTCCGACGCCTCCTTGTATAGCTTCACCTCAGGTACACCAGATTTTCTTATCCGAAGCTGGGCCTGGTATGGCCATCATCACATGTTAGTAATGTCATATGAACTCCATATGTATCATGTAATCTAATATGAAGTATGAAATATTGTGGTGTATTACTGTATTACACCATATTATGTAGTATTGAACCATAGTATGCTATAATGTAAACATTGTCATATCATATTATATTATATCATATTACATTATTGTCTGTGTATGATAAGTGTGCATTTCTCTATATACATGTATGTATATCTAAATATATATATATACGTATAGGTATAAGTATAAGTATAGGTATAAGATGGTATAAGTAAAGGTATAGGTAAAAGATGGTATAAGTATAAGTACGTATATATAAGTAAAACACATGTATATTTCTGTCTGGTTGCATTGAATGTGTGCTTTCTTTTGATCACTTATGATTCTTATCCCGGCAGCTGTATCATCACTCGGATTCAAATGGTCCATCTGCAGTGGTCACATTTACAAAATTTCCACAATTCCGTGTATTCCCTTTTTTGGACATGTCTTGGTGACATGCAATGTTTGGTGATATCGTCACTCTTTCTGCTTTCCCCTATTCGCTGCTTCATCATCTACATTTTGGTCCGTCAACATCCTAGCGTGGGTCAGTGTCTCCAATCCGGGGTCCAATCCGTATGGTTTACCCTACCTGGAAAAATCCTGATGCCATAAAAGGACTTCCTTCCTGCAACATGATCTTGGTATCTACAGAAAATAAATGAACAAGGGAAGAAAACTCCTTATTCTTCAGCGTAACGTCCCAGTGATTCATTCTTCCTTCAGCGTAACGTCCCGGTGATTGATCGCAAATGATAGATAAACAAGTATGGAAATCCATCAGATATCTCATGGTACTTGGTAAACAAAATGGTAGGAAAACCCATGGAAAACCCATGGAAAACCCATGGACCATCTTCGCTGGTTGACCGAAATTCCAACTTCAACCGATCCATCAATCCCCATCTTGGCGAGCCACCGGCGCAGTGAGCCGCAAGAGACGTTGCGGAGGGCCTTCTTCTTGCCTGTCGCAAGTGGAAGATTTAGAAACAAAAACAATATGGGAAAATTCCAGGTGAGTTTCTCATTATGTTCCATCTGAAAATAAATGAACATAAACATAAAATGGTGTAAAACATTGTAAAACCCTCATGAGCCAACTAGTGGTTTTGCGTGTTTGACGGGTGTCAATATGGATTAGTTTACAACACCACCCAAAAAGGCCAAATAGCGACAACTTACTTGTCGATCTATTTGGAAGCTACTAGAAGCAAAACTTACCCTCCACTAAGGTAAACGACTTCAGAAAGATCGGTACCTTGGGTAAATGAACAGCTTGACCTTGCCATGAGTTGAGGGTTGGAAGATTGGCTTCCACTAAAAATTGGCGATAGGTTCAGAGTCAAACGGTTGATTCGGGGAGGATACAAAAAACACTGGGTTTTCTTACCCAAAATGGTCACTTTATATCTAGATAATTTGCCCATGAAATTTGCGATTTTCCATAGCGAACTGTTAAATTACCAGAGGGTAAGACATATTTTTGGTTACCTCTCCATGAAATGTCACCATGATTTATCCATCATATACCATAATTAATACATTACCAAAGGGTAGCATTTAATCGTTATATGAGCATTTAATCATGATCGTATCCATTGATCCATTGTATCCTTATGTTTCATCCATCTTTTTTACCATTTACCGGAGGGTAATGGTTAATAATCATATCTGTATTGGCCTCCGGTGTCTTTACCACGTGGCTCCATGAAACATGGTTTCGTGACCTAACAACTCAATAAACCATCAAACATCAAGCGATTTTCCCATTGTTGGTTCACTTAATTCCATCAAATTCATGGTTACCCTCTGGTAAACGTTTACATAACTATGGGAAATCATCATGTTTAATGGGAAAATCCATTATAAATGGGCCATTGAAAAAAATCAATAGCAAACTGTTAAATAACCAGAGGGTAACTCCCAAATTGCCAGGAGGTAACAGCAGCTTCGCCTCCATGGCCACCATGGAGGCCTCCATTGTGGTCCAGTTGAGGCAGCTGCGCGAGCGTGAGAAATTCGTCCAAAATAGTGGTTTTATGATGCTTGATGAATGTTTGATGGTTAAAAAGTAGGAATTAACCAGTGAAAATGCGTGTTTTTCATGTTATGCACTAAACCAACCATATCATTTTTTTGGCCACATTTTCCAAGCTAATGTGGTAGATCTATCCCAAACCAGCTGCCGAGTATTCAGTTTACCGTATTGCTGAATTTCTATGACAGTAAAACCACCAGAATTGGGGATGTAATGGGATTGGGATGTAAGATGATATTGCCAACAATACTAGGATATATAAGGTTTTCATAACAAAACAACAAAACATGAATATGGCATAATATGGCTATCCCCCTGTGGCCTTCCCTCAATTATCCCAATTACTAGAGACCCATGCCTGAAAAACCATGAGTCAACTTTCAGCTTTTCGGAAATAGGACGGAACATTTCAACACAATCAAAACCACACCCCAGTGATCCTATGAAGCACAAAATTATTGATCGCTTTTAGATTCAGCTCACCATTCCAAGAAGGATATCCAGGGATCGGCACCCATTCCTCTGAACGAACTTCGCGCAAGTCTTTTCGCCAAAAAAGCACGGATCAGTCAGAAACTATTGCTCAGAACCTTCAGTCCTGAGCGTTGAGGTGCAAAGCTTTGGCAGGGTTGACCATGCAATTGGTCACCCGTGGCCAGTTCTATATGAATACGAAGTCATTAAAAAACTAGCAATTAAATCTTCTGATACTTGGAGTCAAATAGGAAAAATATCTTGACATATCTTGAGCCACAACTCCATGTTCTTGTTCTCATCTCATGTCGCCACTGAGATCCACTGAGATCCGCACAAGCGCGGCCTCTTCTGATCCCTTTCCTGCATTGATCAGGTAATCTAGCCTGGCAATGGGGAAACCAACAATCTTATCATATCTTATCATATCTTATCATATCTTATCATATCTTATCATATCTTATCATATCTTATCATATCTTATCATATCTTATCATATCTTATCATATCTTATCCAGTTGACAATTTTCAGAAAACATTGTTTGCTTGGGGATGTCCCAAAAAACCATGGTTGGGTACTGGAGGGTACATAGTTAGATCATCTTTCCTAAAGACTCAATCCGTGGGCCAAACCCTGCAAGGTTGGAGTGTCCCAATTGAGATGGAAAAAACCAGGCGCGTCCTGATTCACCAAAACCCCTGCCAAGTGGGAAAAAAGCATTGGTTTTAAAAGTAAGTTAAATTTAGTCCTTTAATCTTTGCTGTTGTTTTTTGCGTGTCAACATGATTCATTATCACATTTGACAAGAACAGAGAGGCAAAACGGAAATCTTCGGAAGATGATCTTCATGTGGGAAAAATAACAGTATGACACTTCTACATATTCTCCATTTTCATCCTTTTTCGGGGTTCCATTTCTTCAGTGTTTGGGGTTCCAATCTTCCCAGTCCAAAAGGCCTCGAAACTCAGGGACTTTCCGGTGGACCTGCGGCAGGTGAGCGAACCCTCAAATGGCTCAAGAATTGATATACCATTGTACTAAGTTCTCACCTTTATGGTTTAGGATGGTTTAGGGGCATATGAGATCTTAGTAAACGGACTACTTGCAGTTTACTAGCACTAGTGGGAATTTCCATTCATAAAACCATGGCTCGTTCCTTCAGTGTCCATAGAAACTTCACCCAGTCCAACATGGACCCAAAATGGATCAACAACCTCTGGTTATTTGTCATAGCTATGGAAAATCACCACATGTTTTAGGTAAAAACCATGTAAACTAGGTAAATCATCCATTTCTGTGGGGCATTTTTCCCCATTTTTCCGCAGGTCTCTACCTTGCCATCCCAAGAGCTGCTCCAGCCTCAAATGATCCCAGAAGGAAAAACCCGAGGCCATTGGGACTTTGGAGTCAGCGGGAGCCTGTTAGGTCATCAAAATCCGAATCCTCTGGGGATCCGAATCCTCTGGGGTTTCTCTGAACATTCTGTGCCAACAAGAAAGGCATTGCGGATACTTTTTTCATGGTCATTGAAGGGCAAACATGATGAGAAACCATTGGATTTTCGGGTACCCCAGTTTCAAGCAAACACATTCTCAATGGATTGGTTGAAGGGAAAATCTACAGGAAAATATAGAGGCTTCCTGTAAATTTTCCCATCATCCAATTCTATGACATTCATTTCCTGGTTGGAAAGTCCCAAAAGTCCCACAATGGAACTTTGACAACACAGTCAAATGGAGATGCAGATCCTGCTTCTTGTCGATGCAAATGATAGCCACATCAATATATCCCATGTTGAGGTTCTGAATAGATTCAAATCATCACCTGCCCAAACTATTGGGTAGTTTCGACATTAAACAACAATTTGCTATGGAAAATCATTAATTATCTTCATAGGTAAATCAACGATAAACGGATCATTTTGACACAGCTCCCATCATCTCCCATCTGCCATTCAC